ACATAAATATAAAATATAAATATTAAAATAAATAAAAATTAATCACACCAAATTAATATACAGATATATAAACTTCTAGATATATAAATATGTAAACAAATATGCAAATGCAGAAGTGCAGAAATACCCAGATGCACACACCAATAAATACACAATTAAATGCATTAATAAGCACAAATACTTGGATATCCCAATATTTGGATATTGGGATATTCCAATATTCAGATATCCAAACATTTGGATATTCAGATATTTAAATATTCAGATATTCAAACATTTGGATATTTGGATATTGGTATATTTGGATATTGGGATATCAGAATATTTGGATAATTCTATATTCCAATATTGGGATATTGGGATATTCCCATATTCAGATATTCCCATATTCATATTTTGGGATATTCCAGTACAGACACTTCCAGGTTTTCTGGCTGAGCTCATTCCCCAAAAAAATCCTCCCCAGGGATCCCTCGGTGGGACCCTGGAATACCCCAATCCTTGGCTGCTCCCATCTCCAGGCCTAAAAAAACCTAAATGAGTAAAAAAACCCTAAAAGAGTAAAAAACCCTAAAAGAGTAAAAAAACCCCAGCCAAGAGTGAGCCGTGCATTGATAACGGGAGGTGAAGGGGACACGGAGGGGACCTGGGGCAGGAGCGCCAGGAATTTGAGACAAAATGAGTTTGTTTGGGATAAAAACCAGTTTATTTGGGATAAAAACGAGTTTATTTGGGATGAAACCGAGTTTATTTGGAATGAAAACGAGTTTATTTGGGATTAAAATGAGTTTATTTGGGATTAAAATGAGTTTATTTGGGATTAAAATGAGTTTATTTGGGATTAAAATGAGTTTATTTGGGATTAAAATGAGTTTATTTGGGATTAAAATGAGTTTATTTGGGATTAAAATGAGTTTATTTGGGATTAAAATGAGTTTATTCGGGAAGCACCTCCCGCCTGTGCCCTGCCCACTGCTGCATAAATAGAATAGATAAATTAAAAATAAATATATTTATAAATAGAGAGCATTTCCATGGCCCGAACCGCGTCCCTACAGACACACCCCACGTGGAATCCCGAGTGGAATTTCGCCCTTTTCCCAAAAAATCCCCTCCTGGCGCTGCCAGATTTCCTGGGAAATGACGTCTCCACTCGTCCCCCAGCCCCCTTCCGCCCGGGGGGCTCCGGCTGCTCCCCCCGATTCCCCCTCGGGAGTTTGGGGAGAATTCCCTGGGATTTGGGGTTTTCCCGGAGCCTTTCGGGATCCCCTGGGAGGGGCAGAATTCCCGAATTTTCCTCCCCGCGCCATAAAAATAAATAAATAAATAAATAAATAAATGTATATAAATTAATTAATGTACAAAAGCATAAATGTACCTATAAATTACATATAAATACATAAATATAAAATATAAATATTAAAATAAATAAAAATTAATCACACCAAATTAATATACAGATATATAAACTTCTAGATATATAAATATGTAAACAAATATGCAAATGCAGAAGTGCAGAAATACCCAGATGCACACACCAATAAATACACAATTAAATGCATTAATAAGCACAAATACTTGGATATCCCAATATTTGGATATTGGGATATTCCAATATTCAGATATCCAAACATTTGGATATTCAGATATTTAAATATTCAGATATTCAAACATTTGGATATTTGGATATTGGTATATTTGGATATTGGGATATCAGGATATTTGGATATTGGTATATTTGGATATTGGGATATCAGAATATTTGGATAATTCTATATTCCAATATTGGGATATTGGGATATTCCCATATTCAGATATTCCCATATTCATATTTTGGGATATTCCAGTACAGACACTTCCAGGTTTTCTGGCTGAGCTCATTCCCCAAAAAAATCCTCCCCAGGGATCCCTCGGTGGGACCCTGGAATACCCCAATCCTTGGCTGCTCCCATCTCCAGGCCTAAAAAAACCTAAATGAGTAAAAAAACCCTAAAAGAGTAAAAAACCCTAAAAGAGTAAAAAAACCCCAGCCAAGAGTGAGCCGTGCATTGATAACGGGAGGTGAAGGGGACACGGAGGGGACCTGGGGCAGGAGCGCCAGGAATTTGAGACAAAATGAGTTTGTTTGGGATAAAAACCAGTTTATTTGGGATAAAAACGAGTTTATTTGGGATGAAACCGAGTTTATTTGGAATGAAAACGAGTTTATTTGGGATTAAAATGAGTTTATTTGGGATTAAAATGAGTTTATTCGGGAAGCACCTCCCGCCTGTGCCCTGCCCACTGCTGCATAAATAGAATAGATAAATTAAAAATAAATATATTTATAAATAGAGAGCATTTCCATGGCCCGAACCGCGTCCCTACAGACACACCCCACGTGGAATCCCGAGTGGAATTTCGCCCTTTTCCCAAAAAATCCCCTCCTGGCGCTGCCAGATTTCCTGGGAAATGACGTCTCCACTCGTCCCCCAGCCCCCTTCCGCCCGGGGGGCTCCGGCTGCTCCCTCCGATTCCCCCTCGGGAGTTTGGGGAGAATTCCCTGGGATTTGGGGTTTTCCCGGAGCCTTTCGGGATCCCCTGGGAGGGGCAGAATTCCCGAATTTTCCTCCCCGCGCCGCTCCTCCCTCCCGGCCGAGCTCAGCCCAAAGGTAAAATGGCTCTGGCTCGGTGTGGAAAAGGGAATTTAACCCCACGGTTCCCAGAAAAGCTCCAGCGCCGCTGAAAATTTCGGGAATTTTTCATTTTGGTGGCCCCCAAACCCCTTTTCCCCAACAAAGAGGGGTTTGGGGTTTTTTGTTGGAAAAATTCCCTTCAGGAAATTCTCTCCTGTGCGAAACCGGGGGGGAAATGTGGGGATCGGGCTGGAAAACTGGGATTTTTTTGGAGCAGAGGAGCACCCATGGGTGCTGGAAAAAGGGGGAGATCCCACAGGGATCCCTTTGGGATCAGCGGGAAAAGCGATCAGGTGATCCCCGCTGGCGAACCGGAGTTATTTTAATTTTTTTTACATTTTTTTCTTGTTTTACACGCTCGCTCAGGAATGCGCTTCCTCCTCCTCCTCCTCTTTTCCTCCTCCTCCTCTTTTCCTCCTCCTCCTCCTCCTCCTCCTCTGGGATCGTTGCTAATTTGGGATCTCCCGTGCTCCAACAAATCATTATCATCAAATTTCAGATGAAAATTTCAAAAAAAAACCCCCAAACAACCCCAAAAAAACCCCACAAAAACCCAGAAGAAGAAGAACAAACCCAACTTTTCAAGCCGGAGACAAAAAAGGGGCTGGGGAGGGAGCGGAGCCGCCGCTTCCCTGCCCCCAGGAAGGTTTCCCTGGGAACAGTTTCCCCAAAATTCGCCTCCTGAGCAGGAGCTCAGACCCCGCTCCAGCGGCCTCAGGTTCAGAGGGACCCGCCACAATGGAGCCCAGCTCTTAAAATTGGAATTTTTTATTATTTTTTTCCCTTTTTCCCCCTTTTGCAAAGAGGAATCTGCAGCCTGGGGCTGTTGTAGGTTTTTTTGTTTGGGTTTCTTTTCGTTTCGGGTTTTTTTTTTTTTTGTGGTTTTTTGTTTGATTTTTTTTTTTTTTTTTTTTTTTTTTTTTTTGGGAAAGCACCTCGGGAGAGTTGCTAAACACCGAAGGAACCTTGGGATTTAAAGTTGGAAATAAAGTTTAGCAGCTCCGAGGCGTGCGAGAGAATTTCCTTTTCCGCCCTCTATTATTTCCCTTTTTTAAAAAATTTCTTTCCTCCTCCCTATTTTTATTTTTTCTTCTTTTTTTCCTTTTTTGGAGAGGTATTTTCTGCATTTTTTCCCTATTTTATTTTCTTTTTTTATTTTCCTTTATTTTTCTTTTTTCTTTCCCTTTTAAAAATTTTTTCCCCTGTTTTTTTCCCCTTTTTAATTTCCTTTTTTTCTTTTTACTTTTTTTTTTTTTTTGCCTTATAACTTTTTTTTTTTTTTTTTTTTTGCCTTTTAACAAAGAATTCGAACTGAAAAAAAAAGGACGAGAAGTGAAAAAAAAAGATGTGTGGGTAAAAAAAAAAAAAAAAAAAAAAAGGGAAAAAAAGAAGAATACAACTCTCTCATAACTCTCTTTTTCTCCACCGCTGTTACTGTGGACGCCAGCTAATAAATACAATTAATTAGGAATTAATTAATAAGCTGCAGGATGAATTGTGGCCGAGGCGATGACTTCGAACAAGCCGCCTAGAAGGAAAAATTTTCACGCTTTATTAAAAATATTCCTCCACACACCCATCCCAGAGGAATCCACATTTGGGAAGGCGCAGCGACCTCTTCAACCAACCCAAAAAACCATCGAAAAATCCATTTAAACCGCGGAAACAAAGCGGAGGCGCCCGCGCTGCCGCCGCCTCGGAACCTCGGTGATTTGGGGTTTTAATTTGGGGTTTTTCGAGGGGGGAAAAGCCGCCCGGGGGGGTCCCCATTGTGTGCGGGGGTTTGGGGAGGGGGCGCGGGGGAAATTCGGGGTTTGGGGACACCCGGTGGAGCCGGGGGCGTTCCCGGGGGTGTCCCCGGAGGGAATGCGGGGCCCCCCCGCGCCCCCCGAGCTTTGTCCGCTCCAGCTCTCGGTTGATTTACACCGACCCCCCCCAAAAAAAGGGATTATTTGGGAGGCGGAGGTGGGTGCGGGGCCGGCCCGGGCGATGAGAGATGTTTGACTTCTTGATTTTTTTCTCTTTTTTTCCTTGCCGGGGAGGGGGCAGACGAGGAGCCGAGCGCCGGAGCAGGAATTGGGTGTTCGGGAGATGTTGCCAAGCCTCGACCGGAGCGTTTGAAAGCGAGATCGGCTTTTTGGGGTTTTATTTTTGTTTTTTTTTCCCCTCTTTTCCTCGTTTTTTTTTTTTTTTTTCCACCTCCCCTCCCCCTCTGGCCCCTCTCCGGAGGGATGTGTGTGATCAGCGAGCGGAACCACAAATGTCCTGATTTTCCTGATTTCCCCTGCCCCTCTTTGAAAGGGACAAAGAGCAACAACAAAACAACAAAAAAACACAACTCGCAAAAATGTTCCTGACCTGCGAGGGGACCCTGGGGATGGTTCCGGCCGCCGCGGACTGCAGCGCGCCAGCCCGGCCGGGCCCTTTCCACGCCGGCTACCAACAGATCGAAGGGATCAACTTGGGCTACTTACAGATCAACGGCACCCAGATGTTCGCGCTGGCCCAGGTGCTCAGCGACCTGTTCAAGGACATCCCCAGGACCACCATCAGCAAGAAGATGGAAACCTTAAAGATCAAGAGCCGCCGCTGCGACCTGGCCGAGCTGCGGACGCTCAAGGCCATCAACTCGGTGCCCACGCGCGCCGTGAAGTGCTCGCTCATCTCCAAGGCGGACCTGGAGGCTCTCTGCACCTCCTGCAAGAGCCTCCGCCGGAGGAAGAGGAGGAGGAAGAGCAGGAGAAGGCAGCAGCTGCTGCTGCCGGGCCCCGGGGAGTTCTTCCCCTGCCCGCGGCCCCCGCCCTGCCGGGCCGGCGGCTGCTGCGGTGCCCCCGGCCGGGCCGCGCCGCCCCCCGGCCCGCAGCAGCTCCAGCCCGGCCGGGGGGGGCTCTTTGGGGGTCTCCTGGCGGGCTCCCCCCGGCACCTGCCGCTGCTGCCCTGCGCGCTGCCGGCCGCGCCCCGCAGGAGCCCGTGCTGGCCCGGGGGGCTCCTCCCGCACCGAGCGGGGCCCGCGGCCGCCAGGAAGGGCCGGAGCCGCGGCTTCCCCGCCTCCAAGCGCCAGGGAACCTCCGCCGGCTACTCCAGCGACTCGGACTCCAGCCTGGACCTCGCCGCGTCCAGCCCCGCCACCTCCAGCGACTCCTAGGAGGAGGAGGAGGAGGAGGAGGAGGAGGAAGGGGACAGCTCGTGCAGCAGCGAGGAGGGCAGCTCCACGGAGTCGGAGAGCAGCTCGCTGTGCAGCGCGGACTCGGTGCAGAGCACGCGGTACCGGCAGGCGGCCCTGCCCCGCTTCCAGCCCCCCCGGGAGCCGCTCGGGGAGGAGCGGCCGGCGGAGCCCCCCCCGAGCAAAGCGCTGCGCCCCGACCCCGAGCTCCTCTTCCTCTCGCAGCAGCTCTGGGCCCGCACCCTGCGAGCATCAACTTTGGAAAGTTTGAGCGCGGCCGCAGCGCCGGGGGCTCAGCCGGGGCTGTACGCGAGGCACGAGGCCTCCCCTGCCTCCTCCTCCTCCTCCTCTTCCTCCTCCTCCTCCTCGCCCCCTCCCTCCCCGAGCAGCAGCACCCCCGGGGGGGCCCCGCCACAAAAGGAGCGCGGCTTTGGGGACGCCGGAGGGAAGGATTCGCACAAAGATGCCTCGAACAAAAGCCCCTCGTTCGAGCGGCCCAGCGGAGCCTCCCCGGGGCCGGCGCCATCCCCCGACCCGGCCCCGGAGCTGCGGGCGAGCCCCGCCGCCTTGGGCGAGCCCCGGCCGGAGCATTTCGACCGCTTGATCCGCCAGTCCAAGCTGTGGTGCTACGCCAAGGGATTCAACGTGGACGGGAAAGGTTTGCGGCACGGCCGGGGCAGCCCGGAGCCCTGGAGGGGAGCGGAGCTGCCGCTGCAGCCCCGCGGGGGAACCGGGAGCCCCGCGGCGCTGCGGGCTCGCCGGGACGGCAGCGCCAAGCGGCGGCGCCTGGCCAGGGTCACCGAGGGGCAGCGCGGCTCCTCCAAAGCCAGGCCGCCAAAAACCCCGCGGAGGAACTGCAGGAAGGGAAACGCTCCCTGCAAAGCCAGCCCGCCTCGGAATTCCTTCAGCCTGATGGGCAACTTCCCCTGCACGCCCTCGCTGGTGGTGGGCGAGGACGGGGACCTGTGCCCGGCCTCGTCGCTGGGCGGCAAGAACTCGTGGGCGCTGTCCAAGACGCACCCGCTGTGGCGGTGGCACCTGGGGGGCAGCGCCATCCCCGTGCCCCCCAGCCTCAAATTCCGCGGCTGCGCCAGCCTGGAGCATCCCTGAGGAGCGCAGGAAAAATTCCAGGATCGCGGGAGGTGCCGGGGACCGGGAGCGGGGTCAGCCCAGCCCCGGGTGGGGAAGGGGCTGCTCGGAGGAGCGGGGTTTGGGGCTGATTTGGGGCTGATTTTGGCCCGATTTGGAGCTGATTTGGGTCTGATGTGGGGCCTGTTTGGAGCTGATATGGGGGGTCCGATTTGGGGCTCATTTGGGGCTGATTTTGGCCTGATTTAGGGCCAATTTGGGGCTCATTTGGGGCCGATGTGGGGCCGCGTGCGCTGCGGGATGTTGTGTTCGGGAGGAGTTTTAGGGTGAGGTTAAAGGGCGCGATGGAACCAAAATAATTCCCCAAAAACTCCGCGCGCCGCTGGAAATGAGGGGGTGATTCCCAGGAAGGGGATTTAGGGATGAAACGGCTGCTGGGAGAACTGGGAATGAACTGGGAGCGAGCTGGGAAAACTGGGAAGGAGCTCCCTGACCTCCCGACCCTGCTCCAAAAAAAAAAAAAAACCAAAAAAAACCACAAAAAAACCCCCAAAAAACCCAACAAAAACTCAAACCCCTCATTTCTCATTTTTCATCCATAAAAATTGGATTAAAACAATAAAATTCCCACTCAGCCAAGAAAAAAATTCCCGTTCTTTTCCGGGCCGAGTGGATCCCGGGGAAAATTCGGAAAATCCGGAAAAATCCCGGTTTTCCAGCGGGGTTTTCCTGGTGTGGGGGCAGGGAGGAAACGCCAACTTTTTAAAAAAATCGGGAATTTCGGGAGGTCGGGAGAAAGCGGGAGGGGTGGAGAGGAAGCGACTTGAAGTTGCTCCATGGAAATCTAAAGAATATTTTTTAAAAGTGGTGGAAAAGGGAAAAAAAGTGAGGAATTTGTGGGATAATCATCCCTGGAAAAGGTTTGGATCCCGGGAAAAAAATGCGGGAAAATCGGGAATGGAAGGATTTAATCCCGGCTTGAATTTCCCTCCCTCCCCCTCTTGAACCTTTCCAAACCTTTGGAAATTCCCCATGGGATTTCCAGCCCATCAAAGCCCCCAAATCTCTGCTTTGGGAACTTAAAAAAAAAAAAACCAAAAAATCAAAGCTATTTTGGTTTGGGTTTTTTTTTGTTTTGGTTTGGTTTTGTTTTGTTTTGTTTTGTTTTGTTTTTTTTTAAGGAGAAAAAAATCCCAGCCCTCCTGGAGATTCCGCTTGGAAAATTCTTAATTTTTTCCTGCAAAATTTAGGCCCAAAAACAAAACAAACAAACAAAAAAAAATTCAAAATTAAAAATCGCTGCCTGGGAAAAGGGAAGGATTGAAAGGAAAATCTTCACACGTGGCCTGCTGGATTTATTCCAATTTTTAATTCCATTTTTTAATTACATCAGCGCCTTAAAAAATAAGGAAAATAAGGGAAAGGGGCGGGGGGGGGGAAAGGCATTTTAAAGGCCTGGAATATTTGGGATCTGCCGGGTGCAGTTTTCTCTGGAAGTGGCGAATTAAAGCGGTGTTCATTTAATTTGGGTTTTTAGCGGTTTTTTGGGGGTTAAATAACTTTTAATTTTTGTTTGTTTCGCTCCCTCCCGCTGAGCAGAGCAGCAGGAAATTCCCTCGGCAAAATATTGGGATTTTCGAGGAGTTATTCCCAAAAAAATCCCCGCCAACAACCCCAAAACGTGGCGAGAAAAGCGGATTTTAGGGGAGGTTTTCCATGGAATTCCCGTGGAATTCCGGCTGGGGTTAAAAATGTATTTTCTATTTTAAAAAATGGAATTTTTAGTAATTTGCAGGTGCGGTTGGAAAAAAAAAAATCACGGGATGCAGGCTGGGAATGAATATTTATATTTATATTTATAATCCTATATAAAATCATAGAAATATATATTAAAATCATATAAATATATTCAAAATCCTATATGAGTATAAATATAAATATATAAATATAAATATTTAAATCCAGCAACCTCCAGACCCCGCAGCTCCCCCCCAAAAAACTCAGGAATATTTTTCCAAGGGATAAAATCACCTCGGGAATTGTGGGGGAGTGGCCCAGAATTTTATCCCGGTGTAAATACAGCTAAAATTCGCTTTTTCTATTAAAAATTCACATTTTGGGCAGAGATTTTGTTAATTTCTCTGCTCATGCGTGGGGTTGGGATGTAAATAATTGTGAATATTTGTAAATATTCGTAAATATTCTGTAAATCTCAATAAATTCTCTGTAAAGGTTCTGTAAATATTTGGGGGATTGGGGAAAAAAAATTCTAAATACCTCAAAATTTTCATTAAAAAGGCGCCTGGAGCAGCAGAACTGCCCAAAAATAATCATTAAAATAAGAATTGTCATCCTGATGTTAATTATGATAATTCTTGCTTTGGTTTTGAGGTGTTTGAGGGAATTTAAGCTACCAAAGAATAAAAAAAAATAAACTTTAAGTAAGAAATAGAGTGAGGGGGGGGGTGAAGCTGCAGTGGAAATAAATGGAATAAAAGAAATATAAATTAAAAAATAAAAGAAAATATAAATTTTGGGCTGGAATCGCTTGGTTTGGGGTGAAAATTGGCAAATCTGGGGTGGTTTGGGGGTAAAATTTGACTTCCAGGAGAGCCGAAGGGAGGGAAATTCTCTTTAAGGGGGTGAAAGGAGCAAAAATTTGGTTTTTTTGGTCATAAAATCCACTCTTGTGTTCTTTTTTGGGTGGGGACAGAGGAAAGCAAAACAAAAATGGGAAAAGTAATGGAAAATCCCAGATTTCCTCCTCTGGAGTGGAAATTCCCATTCCTTTGGATTAAAAATTCCTATTTCTTTGAGTTAAAAATCCCCATTGCTCTGGATTAAAAATTCCTGTATTTTTAAAATTAAAATTTCCCCTTTTTTGAGGGAATTGCCTGCTCCAGCCCGGGATGTAGGGAGGGATCGGGATGCGCTGGGGAATGGGAATCTGGGAGGAGCTGGGGAATGATGATCCCAAAAGAAAGTGGGCAATGATGATCCTGCTGGGATGAGCTGGGAATCTGGGATGATCCTGCTGGGACGAGCTGCAGGATCCCATTGGAATGAGCTCCAGGATGGGAATCCCACTGGGATGAGCTGGAGAATGGGAATCCTGGATGAGCTGCAGCACGGGGATCCCGTTGGGATGAGCTGTAGGATGAGGATCCCACAGAGACTGCGGGAGGGGGATCCCACTGGGATGCGGTGGGGAATGGGAATCCTGGATGAGCTGCAGGAACGATGATCCCGAGGGATGAACTGCAGGATCCCATTGGGATGAGCTGTAGGACCGGGATCCCAACGGGATGAGCTGCAGGAACGATGATCCTGAGGGATGAACTGCAGGATCCCATTGGGATGAGCTGTAGGACCGGGATCCCAACGGGATGAGCTGCAGGAACGATGATCCCGAGGGATGAACTGCAGGATCCTATTGGGATGAGCTGTAGGACCGGGATCCCAATGGGATGAGCTGGAGAATGGGAATGCTGCTGGGATACTGTGGAGGATGGGGATCCCAGTGGGACTCTGCAGGACCAGGATCCTGCTGGGATGCACTGGAGAGTGGGAATGCTGCTGGGATGGGCTGGGGGACTGGGATCCCACTGGAGTGAGCTGTAGGACCAGGATCCCAACAGGATGAGCTGTAGGACCGGGATCCCAACAGGATGAGCTGTAGGATGGGGATCCCAACGGAATGAGCTGTAGGATGGGGATCCCAACGGAATGAGCTGTAGGATGGGGATCCCAACGGAATGAGCTGTAGGATGGGGATCCCAACGGGATGAGCTATAGGAACAGCTCACTCTCCTGGGGTTATTCCCAGTTCCGGGAGGTTCCTCCCTTCCCCTGCTGCCCCGGGGACACCGAGGGATGCTCGCCCAGGGACCGAGGACCGGGAACAGCGGGGGTCGCTCTCCCGGTGCCCCGGGGCCAGCGGGCTGTGGGGACCCGCAGGGCTCCCTCCCACCGCCTGCCCGGCGGTGATTTTGGGGGAAAAAAGGGCATTTTTAGGCTTCTCCCAGCAGAGGTCCCCGGCTGCCTGCCCAGCGGCACTCCCCGGGCGCGGGCCCGGATCCCGGGGGAATCCTCCGGCCCGTGGGGCTGGAACGGAGTTCCCGAGGGGGTTTCTGCTCCTAATTCCTGATAAATTAGAATTTATCCTATAAATTTATTCCTGATAAAAAGAGGAACGTGGCCAGGAAACCGCTCCTGAGTTTTGTTCCTGGTCCAAGGCAAGGGGAGTTTCCTGGGATATCCCAAATATGTCGTGACACAGATTTTGGGATCTGCAGGTGCAATCCCAAACAGAAATATTCCCAATATTTCAGGATCACTTCACTCATTCCCTGCAGGTGTAATCCCACAAATAAATATTCCCAGCATTTCAGGATAATTTCTCTCTACTCCTTTCCTGCAGGTGCAACCCCACGAATAAACATTCCCTGTCCCGGGATTCAGGGATTTGCACTTCATAGCCTTTATTTGGGAAGGAAACAAAAGAAGTAAATTTATTTATTTTAAAATTAGGTGAAGACGCCTGAGGTGACTGAAGTGACGGAACCCCCGTGGGGGGAAACGCGCCCACCCCAACACCACAACTCAGTGGCAGAAAAGGAGAAAACGCCCCAAAAAGCCCCAAATCCGTCCCAGCAGAGCAGACCCTTGACAAATCCCTTTAAGCCGAGCCTTGGTGCTGCAAATCTCGGTTTCAGTTTCAGGTCCCGTCGCTATTTTGGTGTCGCCGCTGTCACCGAGGCAGGGCGGAGCAGAGGAAGGGGGGAGCGGGGAGGGTTTGTCTAAATTAGGAAATCGCCCCAAAAATCTGCCACAACTGCTCCACACCCTGCTCGGCACCGATGTCTTTAATTTATCCACTAATAAAATTCATGTGAAGCTTAATTAGAGCTGGTTTTAGCACCCCTGGGGAATCCTCAAACCCATCCCAAACCCCTTCACACCCCAATTTTGGGCAGTTTCATCAAAATTTCCCATTCCTGGGGCTCTCAAAGTCCCAAAAAATATTTCAGTGTCAGGACAGATGTGACTCAGGGCTGAGCTGATTGGTGTCACTCATTAATTACTAGTTAGTTACTCATTAATTAGTTCTGATCCATGCCGGAGCAGTGCCTGTGACTTTTTCCACATAATTTTGGGGGAAAACCTCAAAGATGTCAGAATTTAGCCACTTTTTGTCTGCCAAGGGCCTAGTGGTGATTGATTAATTAATTAATCAATCAATTAGTCACTCAGCAGTGATTAATTGCCAAACCAAAGGATCCTGGAATGGTTTGGGTGGGAGGGGACCTGAAATCCCCTCCAGTGCCACCCCCGCCGTGGCAGGGCCACCTCCCCTTGTCCCAAGGTGGCCCAGACCCCATCCAGCCTGGCCTGGGACACTGCCAGGGGTGGAGCAGCACAGCTGCTCTGGGAATTCCATCCCAGCCAGGAATTCCTGCCCAAAATCCCGTCCATCCCTGCCCTGTGGCAGTGGGAGCCATTCCCTGGGTCCTGTCCCTCCATCCTTGTCCCCAGGCCGTCTCCAGATCTCCTGGAGCTCCTTGAGGCCCTGGAAAAGCTCTGGGGTGTCCCTGGAGATTCTCCTTGCCAGGTTGGAGAATCCCAAATCTCCAGCCTGTCCTGAGAGAGGAGGGATGGAATCCATGGATGGATGGATGGATGGATGGATGATGGATGGATGGATGGATGGATGGACGATGGATGATGGATGGATGATGGATGGATGGATATATGGATGGAGCGATAGAGGAAGGCAGGGATGGATGGATGATGGGTGAGGTTCCAGATGTGCCCCCGGGATGTTCTCCCTGTGTGCCTCCGCTGCCCGGGGCCGCTCCCCCTCTCTCCTGTCCCCTCTCCCCTCTCTCCCCTCCCTCTCTCTCTCCCCACTGCCCCCCCGTTTCCTGCGCCCCCGCAGCCCCCGGCCGGATGCGGCTCCGAGCCCGAGGGGCCACGGGCGCTTCCTGCCCGCGCTGCGGGGCTCGCCCCGGCCCGGGCCGCGACCACCGGGCACCGGGAACCGGGCACCAGGGACTGGGATTTGTTTTAATTTAAATGGAATTTAAATGGAATTTATTGGCATTTAAATTGCATTAAATGCGAATTTAATCCTTTCAAAGTTCAAGTCCAAGGATCTCCACGGACAAGGGATGGGAGGAAATCCCAAATTTGATCCCAGGACAATCCCAAATCTCCAGGATACAAAGGCCAGAATTCCTAAAACACAAAAGATAAGAGGAAAAGGGGGAAAAGGGGGGAAAACGGGGGGTGGGGAAGGGGGAAATCCTTGGAAAAAAGGGAGTTCAGGCTGAGTGAATTCCTGCCCCTGCAGGGATTTTCAGGGATTGGGATAAAGGGAAAATCGTGGATGGAATGCTTGAGGGACAATCAAAAAGTGTCCAAAAAATTGGAATTTCGGGGTTTGGGTTGAAAGAAAGCCCAGGATGGGCCAGGCTGAGATTCCAGAGATTTTTGGGATGAGGAAAAGGAGGCTTAGGATATTGGGGTTGTTTAAATTGGAAATTATAAAATTATGGAATATTCGGAGCAGGAAGGATGATCAGAGTGGTGGGAAAATCCCCAAAATCCTCAGAAACTGTGGTTGATTTGGGATTGGAGTGTTTGGAGTGGAATGCTGTGCCTGGGAATCCATCCCAAAACTCTCCAGGAGTGCAAGGGGGTGGGGGATAAAAGAGCTCCCCCCCCAAAAAAAAAATTCAAAATATTTCGGATCTTTTCACCCATTCCCTGCAGGTGCAATCCTATAAATAAATAATCTCAATCTTTCAGGATAATTTCTCTCTACTTCTTTCCTGCAGGTGCAATCCCATAAATAAATATTCCAATAAATATTTCAGGATCACTTCACTGGTTTCCTGCAAGCATAATCCCATAAATAAATATTCCCTCTATTTCAGAATCCTTCCTCGTCACTCATTCCCTGCTCACGCAATCCCATAAATAAATATTCCCGATATTCCAGAATAATTGCCCTGTTTTCCCCCTGATCACTCCTCCTGCCGCGCACAAACCCCCAAGGGGGGAAGGAACATTTTTCCTCCTTCCCAAGGTGCCAAGGGGTTAAATCCCTTTTCCAGAGGAGTCTCGGGCCAGGACAGCCGGTGGCGCTGGCGGAGCCGGGATCCGGGAATTTCGGGATAATGGGATTTACGGAGCGCTGCCGGCTCATCCCCGCTGAGCGCTCCATCGGGAACGCACCCACAGCGCGATCCCAGCCGGGCACAGGAGTGGAGGGGGAAAAAAACCCAAAATCCTCATCCCAAAGCCCTGGGGAGTGGTTCAAAAAACCCCAAAAATCCAAAATATCACCCGCGCTCAAACCCGCCCGCCCGGCCGCGCCGAGATCCGTGAACCGCAAATTTTACCGGAGCGTGCGGGCGGCGCCGCCATGATTGCACCGGGGGATCGGGGACGGGGCGGGGTGAGGATGGGGGCGGCGGCGGCGGGGGGGTGCGCTTTGTTTTAGCGCTATTGTTCCAAATAACGGTGTCGCCGCCGATGTGGCGCGGCCGCCGAGGGGGGGACACGGCGGGGACACGGCGGGGACGGAGCTGGGGCAGCAGCGGAGCCCCCCCGGGAGTGGCGATGGGGGCATTTCTCCCGTGCCCCCCCGGTTGAGCGGGGAGAGAAGGGGGGGAAGAGGCGCTGCCGCCCCCAGCCCGGCCCGGGGGGCTCGGGGGGCTCGGGGGGAAGCAGCGGAGGGGGCGGCGGGGCCCGGAGCTGCCTCCTGCGAGGGTAGGGAGGGAGGAAGGCAGCCCTCCTCCTCCTCCGCCTCCTCCGCCCGCTGCTCCCGGCGACACGGGCGATTTGCATTTTAAATGACTCCGAGCCCGCCCCCAGCGCTCGGTAGCGGGCCCGGAAAGTTTGTCCTCGGCTCGGTGAACAAAACAAATCCCGATTAAAATCGGTATTCGAGGCAGCGGAGGCGCGGCGATCCCTGCTCGGTTTGTTCGGAGCGCGCCGAGGGTTCCGGGCTGCTCGGGCCGCGCTGTTTTCCCGGCTGCTGTTATCCCGTTCCTGTCCCGGTTATTTTCTATCCCATCCTTGTCCCGGTTGTTGTTTTATCCCATCCTTGTCCCGGTTATTTTCTATCCCATCCTTGTCCCGGTTATTTTCTATCCCATCCTTGTCCCGGTTGTTGTTTTATCCCATCCTTGTCCCGGTTGTTTTTTATCCCGTCCCTGTCCCGGGTTATTTTCTATCCCATCCTTGTCCCGGTTATTTTCTATCCCATCCTTGTCCCGGTTGTTGTTTTATCCCATCCTTGTCCCGGTTGTTTTTTATCCCGTCCCTGTCCCGGTTGTTGTTTTATCCCATCCCTGTCCCGGTACATCTCCAGCTCTTCCTGCGCTCCTGGCCCTGGGTGTCCGTGGTCTGGCTCTGTCCCTCTGTCCATCCCTGTCCCTGTCTGTGTGTCTGGCTCTGTCCCTCTGTCCATCCCTGTCCCTGTCCCTCTGTCCATCCCTGTCCCTGTCTGTGTGTCTGGCTCTGTCCCTCTGTCCATCCCTGTCCCTGTCCGTGTGTCCATCCCTGTCCCTGTCTGTGTGTCTGGCTCTGTCCCTCTGTCCAGAACAGCTCCAGAGGGTCAGGAACGGTTTGAGAGAGGCAAGAGCTGTTCCAGAGCATCAGGAGGAGTTCTGGATTTTCCAAACCAGATCCAGAGGGGCGGGAACAGTTTCACATTTTCAAGAACAGTTCCAGAGGTGCAGAAACAATTTTTAGGGGTGAGGAACAGTTCCAGGGTGTTGGGTTGAGTTCCAACTATTCAAGAACAGTTTTTGAGGGTCAGGAACTGTCTCAAATCATCAAGAACAGTTTTTGAGGGTCAGGAACTGTCTCAAATCATCAAGAACAGTTTTTGAGGGTCAGGAACTGTTTCAGATTTTCAAGGAGAGTTTTAGAAGCACAGGAGCAGTTCCAGAGGTCAGGAACAGTTTTCAAGGGTCAGGAGCAGTTTCAGATTTTCAAGAACCATTCTAGAGCATCAGGAAGAGTTTGGGATTTTCAAAATCAGATCCAGAGGGTCAAGAAGAGTTTTGGATTTTCAAGAAGAGTTTCAGAGTATCAGGAAGAATTTCAGAGGGTCAGGAACAGTTTTTTAGGGGTGAGGAACAGTTCCAGAGTGTCGGGTTGAGCTCCAAATATTCAATAACAGTCTTTAAGGGTCAGGAACTGTCTCGAATCATCAAGAACAGTTTTGGATTTTCAAGGAGAGTTTCGGAGGTGCAGGAGCAGCTCCAGAGGGGCAGGAAAAGTCTCTGAGCCTGTGGGAAGCTCAAGGAGTTTATTTGGGGTTTTTGGGGGCCCTGCAGGATGTGGTGATTCCCCTTTTGGAGCCCGGCCCAGCCCCTGCGGCTTTGGGGAGGTTTTTATTCCCCAAATAGCTCAAACCCCAAAAAGGAGCCCTGGGGGCTAATCCTGGTTGGGGAAAAAAACAGGAAATAACTGGGGAAAACAGGGAGAAAAATAGGGAGAAATAGGGAAAAGCCCAGGGAAAAGGGGGGGGGGGGGGAAAGCAGGAAGTAAACAGGGAGAAAAACAAGGAAGAAAACAGGAAATAAACAGGGAGAAAAAAGGGGAGAAAACAGGGAAAAATCGGGAAAGCAGGGAAAAATGGTAAAAACCAGGGAAGAAACAGAGGAAAAGCAGTGGAAAATGGGGAAATCAGGGAGAAATGGGGCAAAACAGGGAAGGAAACTGGGAAGTAAACAGGGGGAGTGAAATTCCCGGGAAGCCCCGGGTCCATCTTTAGCCCGGGCTGAGCGCCAAGAACGAGCTCAGCTGGAGCCAGCGGGGGCTGCCAGGGGAAAACAGGGAAAAACAGGGAAAAATGCAGAATATGAGCTGAAAATAGAAATTATTAACGTCCTTAAGTCCTTTATAGAGCCCTTGTTTCCCATCAGGTGGTCCTGTGAATATGCTGAATTTTTTAATGGAAAATTGTGTCCCAAAGAGGAGAAAAACCCCAAAACATGGGGGAAAAAAGTAAAAAATGAGCAGAAAATACAATTTATAAATTATTTACTCCCTTATTCGAGGCCTTATTCCCCAGTCAGGGTTCCATAAACATCTTGGATTTTTTAATGGAAAAATTTTTCTCCAAAGAGGGAAAAAACCCCAAAACAAGGGGAAAAAAAGTAAAAAATGAGTGGAAAATACAATTTATAAATGCTCTTAACCATTTTTTTGGACCCTCCATTTCCCAGCCATGGTTTCGTCAATATTTTACATTTTTATTTTATTTTATTTTATTTTATTTTATTTTATTTTATTTTATTTTACTTTATTTTATTTTATTTTATTTCATCTTGCATTTTTTGCATGATTTCTCAGTGCTGATCCTGTTTGTCTCCCTGACTTTCCTCCTGTTTATTTCCAGACTGCTCCAGCCATTTTTAAACCCCCGAGAAATCAGAAATAAATGGATTTAAAAATGGTTTAATTTGGTTTTTTTCTGCCTTTTTTCCCAGCTTGCTATGGAATTGTCCAGGTTCCCACCGGCCCCTGGTTCTGCCGGAAATGCGAATCCCAGGAAAGAGCCGCCCGGGTGGTGAGTAGGGAAAAACCCTGCATAGGGTTCTCCAAGATTTTTTTGGTTTTTCCTGAGATTTTTGGGGTTAAAGATCTCAATTTTCCCCAAAAAAAGTAATTTTTCCAAAAAAAAAAGACATTTTTCCTCAAAGGTGGAAGAAGCTTTCCCTCAAAGGTGTTTTTCTTGATCAGATCTGTGGGAATTGTTGGGAAAAGCGAAAACTGGGATTGGCTGAGGTGATGTTGAGCTGTCAAAACCACGGGATTTTTGTGGGATTTTTGGGTTGGGAAGGAGGCTTTAAAGCATTGATGGGTATTTAAGGGGATCTGAAATCCCCTGAGGTTCCTCACCTGGAGAATCCAAAGTTCTCCGGAGCTGGAAAATGGTGGAGAAGGATGGGGGGGATGGGATCAGGGCTCATGGGGTTTTCATGGAATGTTCATTGGGTTTTCCTTGGGTTTTCATGGGGTTTCCATGGACATTTCCGGGGTTTTCGTGGAATTTTAACAGAAATTTCTTTGGGGTCTTCACAGAGCTTTCATGGAATTCTCTTTGGGATTTTCCTTGCATTCTTATGGCATTTTCATGGAATTTTCGTGGGGTTTTTCCTGCAATTTTAACGGAATTTTCTCTGGTTTTCATGGAAAATGAGGCTGATTTTGTCCCCCAGTCCCTGATTTATCAATTCCAGCTCCTGGAATTTCCCACCTCCGAGTTGGATCCAACTTGGGATCACAGAGGTTTTCCCTGGATGAGCTTTAATCTCCTTCCAACCCCTATCATCCCACAATTCCTTGGGGTATTCCTCAGTTATTCGCGATTTTTAGGATCCTCTGCCCTGTCCTGGTCCCCTCATCCCAAAAGTTCCATCAGAAGCTGCTTTTTCCCCCAAAAAATAATTTTTTATTTAGGTGGGGTTTATTTTGCCAACTCAGCCATTCCTATAAAGGACAAGCTGAAAACCTCGTGAGTCTGGCGGCCTTTTTAAAAAATGCAAAAACCCCTAAAAAAAACCAAAATCACAGGGGAGATTTTCCTACACCAGATTTTGGGGCACCCCAAAAACAACCCCACACCCTCTCAGCCTGGATTTGGGGTGACACCAAACCCAACCACGACCCTACAACCAAAACTTCCCCCCAAAACTGGAGGAAAAAACCTCGCGAGAGGCGGAAGGAAGGAGCAGAGAGATAAAAACTCAATTTTTTTTTTTACTCTGAGTCACCACTTTCGGTTTTACTCCTCAACCACAGCCCCTAAAACCAGCCCTAGAAAATCCCCAAAAGCAAAGCTTCACCCCTGGGCTTTAAATCCATTTTTAGATATTTTTTGAGGCATTTTCCCCCCAGAACCTCCTCAGTCCTCATCCCACGGCCCTGTTCTGGCAGCAGCTCCTTTTTGGGGCAAAATTGGGAATTTTCTGGTCCTAAACCCATAATTAAATGGATGAAATTTGAATTTTATTGATTAGATTTTATTAAATTTGAATTTTATTAATGAAATTTGCATTTTTGGGGATTAAATTGCAATTTTATTAATTAAATTAGAGTTTTATCAATGAAATTCAAATATTATTGAATAAATTTGAATTTTATCAATGAAATTTAAATTTTCTTGATTACATTTCAATTTTATCAATTAAACCTAATTAAATCTGATTAAACTTGAATTGAATCAATAAAATCAAATTCATTTTATGTATTAAATTTGAATTTCATCTATTAAATCTGATGACATCCGAATGTTACCACTGAAATCAGGTGAATTTTGGTGTTTTTTCTTCCTTCCAGAGGTGCGAGCTGTGTCCCCACAAGGACGGAGCCCTGAAGCGCACAGACAACGGGGGTGAGCGGAATTCCCGCCTGGAAAATCCCAAATTCCACCCTCCCATTTTTTCCGAAAAAATTCCCTTTTTGGACCCTCCACCAAATGGGATTTTTTTTTTCCCTGCCTGAGCTTGGGTTGGTGTCAAAACGAGCCCAAAATTGTGGGATTTTGGGGTTGATTCCACAGGAATTTCCCGACCTGTGGGATCGCGGTGGGATCCAGGCCCCACCCCAGAGGATTTTCCTGTAGATTTTTTGGCATGGAATTTTTTGGGATGGAGTTTTTTTTTATGGGGATGGAGATTTTTTTGGGAAGAAGGGTGTTTTGGAGATACAGGTTTTTTGGGACGGAGACTTTTTTGGGACAGAGGTCTTCTTGGCACTGAGGTTTTTTTGGAGTGAAGAGTTTTTTGGGGATGGAGGTTTTTTTTTTGGGATGGAGGGTTTTTTGACATTGAGGTTTTTTGGCATGGAGGTTTTTTTTGGGATTAAGGGTTTTTTGGGATGGAGATTTTTTTAGGCACAGAGGCTTTTAAGGATAGAGATTTTTTGGGGATGAAGACTTTTTTGGGATGAAGATTTTTTCGGGGGGAATAGAGGCTATTTTGGCACGGAACTTTTTTAAGGATGAATGGGTTTTTTGGCAACAGAGATCTTTTTGATGTGTAGTTTTTTTGGGATGGGGTTTTTTGGGACAGAAGATTTTTTTGACACTGAATTTTTTTTTTTTTTGGTTGGGGTTTTTTTTTTTTTTTTTTTTTTTTTTGGTTTTTTTTTTTTTTTTTTTTTTTTTGTATTCCCGGACTGAATTCCCATTTTCCCTTCCTTTTCCAGGCTGGGCCCACGTGGTGTGTGCCCTGTACATCCCCGAGGTGCAGTTTGCCAACGTGCTCACCATGGAGCCCATCGTGCTCCAGTACGTCCCCCACGACCGCTTCAACAAGGTAAAATCTGGGATTTCAGGATTTTCGGGATCATCCCGTCCCCCTACGGCTCCTTCCCGTATTACCCCAACCCCACAGCTGCTCGGATTCCCTTAAAAACCAAGGATTTTTTTCCTGGATTTGCCAGGAAATTTTTGGTCTTCCCCACCTGTCTTCCCCAAGTCAATGGAATTTGAGGAACTTCTTGGTGGAATTACTGGATCTGTGGAATTCCATGTCGGATCCTCTATATTTGGATGGGTTTTGGGGGAGAAAATGGGAATTTCAGGAATTTCTTCGTGGAACAACTGGAGCCAACTGAATCCATGGAATTCCATGATGGTTCCAATGGGATGGTTGGGATTTCGGGGAAAAAAGGAGAAGTTTTGTATATCCCACTGAGAAATACCCCGGAATTTTCATAGAAATCCCTCAAAATTTCCTCGATACCCCAAAAGTTCCTTCACAGGTGCGGGAGAGGCTCGGAGAGCGGAACGTGGGGTGCAGGGCTGGAACTCGCCGAGCTCCCAAGACCCCTCCCAACCCATTCCATGGGATTTGGGGATTCCTGGAGGCTTTTCCTCTTGGGAAAAATGGCTTTTCCCACTTTTTTTCCCCATCCCAGACCTGCTACATCTGCGAGGAGCAAGGCCGGGAGAGCAAGGCGGCCTCCGGGGCCTGCATGGCCTGCAACCGCCACGGCTGCCGCCAGGCCTTCCACGTCACCTGGTGAGATTCCCGGGAATTCACCTCGGGAATGCGCCCCCAGCTGCTCCTTCCCTGCCCTGGCTTTGGGTCTCATTCCCCAAGGGTCGTGGGGTTTGGGGTTGATCCCTCCACAAGGTCATTTAGTGCTGGAGTTGCCTCTTCTTCCTACCAGCCCAGGGGGGTTATCTGGGCTTTTCCAGGTTTTTCTGGGATTTTCCAGGGTGTTCCCAAAGTTTGGGAATTCCCTTGGGGCCTGTGGAATGTTCATTCCCCTGCCCTGGATTTCGGGTCTCGTTCCCTGTGGGTTGTGGGGTTTAGGGTCGATCCCTCTGCAAGGTTATTTAGGGCTGGAGCTGCCTCTTCATCCTCCTCACCCAGGAGGTTTATCCAGGTTTTTCCAGGGAGTTCCCGAAGTTTGGGAATTCCATTGGAACCTGTGGAATCTGACAGATTTTTCTGGGTTTTTTTTTTTTGTTTTGTTTTCCTGCTGATTTTTCAATTTTTTTTCCCCTGCTTTCCCACTGATTTTCTTGGGTTTTCCCTGGTTTGCCACCAATATTCCTGGATTTTCCCGGATTTTCCCTGTTTTCCCGGGATCAGTGCGCAGATGGCCGGGCTCCTGTGTGAGGAGGAGGTGCTGGAGGTCGACAACGTCAAATACTGCGGCTACTGCAAATACCACTTCAACAAAATGGTGAGATCCAGGAATCCCAGGGATTTGGGGAATTCCTAATTATTTAGGGAATTTTTATTTCTTTGGGGAATTTAATTTGTTTTGGGAATTTTATTTCTTGAGGGCAATTTTTAATTTCTTTAGAGAATTATTTCTTTATTTTGGGAAATTTTCATTTATTTCAGGATTTTTTATTCAATTTGGTGGATTTTATTTATTTAGGGAATTTGATTTATTTAGGGAACTTTCATTTATTTTGGGACTTTTCATTTATTTAGGGAATTTTCATTTATTCATTTTTCCTCCCCTTTTCCCTCTTTCTTTCCCCTTTCCCCTCTTTTCTTCCCCTTTTCCCTCTTCCCTTTCCCCTTTTCCCCATTTTTTTCCTGTTTTCCCCCTTTTTTCCCCCATTTCCCTCCTGTTTTCCCCCAGAAGACCTCGCGCCATTCCGGGAGCAGCTCCTTCCTCCCGGGCAGGAGGAGCCGCTCGGCGTCCCCGGCCCAGGAAAAGCACCTGTCCCACCACGAGCGGCCAAAAAAGGTGAGAAAATCCCCCAAATCCAAAAAATGCCCTAAATTCATGGGGTTTGTTTATGGCATCTGGTGCTGGAATACAGCGGGAACAGGAATTTATTTGGATTTCCTTATGGGATCTGGTGCTGGAAAACAATGGGATTTGTTTATGGCACCTGCTCCTGGAAAACTGCCGGAATGGGGATTTATTAAAATTTCTTTATGGGATCTGGGGCTGCCCTTCCTAGCGCTGGGAATTCCGGCATTCCAGAGGTTCCTGGTTTTTTTTTTCCAGAGCCGCAAGGACAAGGAGAGGCCGAAGCAGAAGCACAAAAAGCGTCCGGAGTCCCCCAGCAGCCTCCCCCCAGCACCCGTGGCCGTGGCTGCCGAGAAGGTACCGGGGCCGTGGGATGGGAAAATCCACCAGGAAAATGGGAAAGGGCAGGAAAATTCATTGGGAAAATGGGAAAGGGTGGGAAAATCCACCCAGGAAACAGGGAAAAGGGGGCAAGAAAATCCATGCAAAAAAAACCAGGGAAAAGGGGCAGGAAAATCCACCAGAAAACTGGGAAAAGGCATTCTCACCAGGCTATTCCCACCCCCAGTCCCCACTCCCCTTCCCTTCCCGAGGAAAATTCAGGACGATTTCCACACTCCCACTGAGCCCATAAATCCAGGAGGGTTTAATTCCCACATCTGGGGCTGGCAGGAGAAAATCCCAATTCCCGCTGCTCTCCCCCCGGAATTCCCCCGTTCCCATCCCTTCAAATTCCGGGCACATCTGGTGCCTGCAGCTGTCGGGGGATTAAATCCAGGGGTGGATTTGGATCCCAGGATTTATCCCAAGGAGGGCTTGGCCGGGGTCAGGGATGTCAGCAAGGTCCCACATTTTGGGCCATCCCATAATTACAGGAATATTTTTAATTTTGGTTGTAATGTTACCCAAAACTGGTGAATTTGGAGCCCTCAGCTCCAAATTTGAAGGGATTTGGGATTTGAGGGATCTGGGTTTGGGTTCATGCCTCTCTGCCCCCTGCTGAATTCCCACAGTTCTCCCTCTCATCCCCAAATCCTGGATTTCCTGGCATCTGCCCGGGTTCATCACCCTCCTGTCTCCCCTGGAGAGAATTCCTCATCTGGAATTTGGGAACATCTGGTGCTGCTCCAACCCCTGGGAATATTCCCTGCTGGAGCTTTTGGGATGGCTGCAGGGATCCCAGGGAATCTCCTGTCCCATCCCAAGGATGACAAAATTCCCTCGGGGAACCTCTGATTCCATCCCAAGGATGACGAAATTCCCTGGAAATTCCCCGATGGAAATCTCTTGTCCCATCCAATTGCTAAGGAAATTTCCCCAGGGAATCTCCTGTCCCATCCTGAGGATGAGAAAATTCCTGCTCCGGAGGGGGAAAATAGGGAAAATCAGGAAAAGGAGCCCGGGCTGCAGCCAGCTCTGGTCCCTGGGGTCACACCCGTGTCTGTCCCCTGCCAGGGCTCCGGTGGCCACCACGAGGCCACCAAGGAGAGCTCGGAGGTGGCCAGGGCAGAGGCCAAGGGCAGGAAATCCTCGAGCCACGGCAGCAGCCACAAGGGGAAGAAGACGGGAAGCGGGAAAAGCTCCGGAGGCTTCGGATCGGCCCCGCCCGGAGGAACCTTCCAGGCGGCCGGTGAGGGGCAGGAGGAGGAGGAGGGGGAGAGGGAGGAAGGAGAGAGGAGAGGGATGGAGGAGGAAGAGAAGAGGAATGAAGGAGGAGGAGGAGAGGGATGGAGGAGAAAAGAGAGGAATGAAGAAGGAGGAAGAGGAGAAGGAGGAGGGAGAGGAAGGAGGAGAAAGGGGAAAGAGGAGAAGAAGGAAGGAGGAGGAAGAGAAGAGGGAGGAAGAGGGGAGGGATGAAGGAGAAAAGGAGAGTGATGAAGGAGGAGGAAGAGAAGGAAGAGGAGAGCAATGACGGACAGGGAAGAGGAGAGGGATGGAGGAGGCAGAGGGGAAGGATGAAGGAGAAAAGCAGAGCGATGAGGAGGAGGAGAGCTCCAGGAGCCCTCCCCTGCCCCTCGGGCTGACCCCGCGTGTCCCCAGGCTCCTCCTGCGGCCTGCCCGGCTCCCAGGACTTTGCGCCCTTCCCCAAGCTGGAGCAGGAGGACGAGAAGTTCCGCAAGGCCGCCAGCTCCAGCTCCAGCTCGCACTGCTCGCCGCTCTCCGAGGGCCCCAAGGCCGACGTCTTCGAGCAGAAGGTCATCTTCTCCGGCTTCGGCTCCATCATGCGCTTCTCCACCTCGGCCGTGGGCCAGCCGCGAGCCCGCGACGCCTCCCCCGTGGACTACAAAGCCACTGGCAGCCTTGGTGGCCCTTCAGGTGGCAGCGCGGGTGGCACCGCTGGCGCCAGCGGGAGCGGCCACAAGCGGATGCCGTCGCTGGGCGCCGAGGAGGGAGAGGTGCTCAAGGAGAAGAAACACAAGGGCAGCAAGAAGAACAAGCACGGCCCTGGCAGGCCCAAGGCGGGAAAAGGCAAAGAGATTTTGGGGGCCCAGCTGGCTGGGTCCACCTCCACCTCCTCCTCTCCCTTCTCCGGGGGATCCCTCGTCAGCTCCAGTGTTGGGAATTCTTCCCGGAGCTTCAGCCACCCTGGGAGTCTGCCCAGCCTCAGCATGGAGTCGCCGCTGCTGGGCTCAGGTGGGTCCTCCTTGACAGGTTCAGGTGGTCTCAGGTCCCTTTTCCAGAATTTTCCAGAATTTCCCAGCCTTTTCCAGCACATTTAACCATGTTCAGAACCTGCCTGCAGAGGGTTCTGTCCCTTGAATCCATAAAAATCCACATCCCGCTCCTTCATCCTGGAAATCTCCCCTGGATCAGCTTCCTGAAATTTGGGGTGCAGATCTGAGCTGGGAACATCCCAAACCCTTTTTGCTCCAACTTGCCCAGCCAGGGCTGAATTCCCAGGTGGATAAAGGGGAATATTCCATGACCCCAAATTAGGGACTGTCTGGAGTGGTTCAGTTTCCTTCCTGGATTGGGAAGGGATGCTGGGCTGGGGACAGCTGGTACATGGGACAGGAAGGGGTTAAGGCAGCCGGGAGAGGGGCTCTGCCACTCAATCCCGAGTGTTCCCTTTCCAGACTGTTCCTAATCCCAACTGTTCCCTGTCCCGAGTGTTCCCTGTCCTGAGTGTTCCCAATCCCTTCCCACTGCTTCCAGAGGGGAAAGGTGAGGAGGGAACGGCGGCTGCCTGACCCTTTGGAGCAGGAATTGAGGAGAGAGTTGTGGCTCCCTGACCCTTTGGAGAAGGGACAGGAAGGAATCCTGGCTCCCTGACCCTTGGGAGAAGGGAAGAAGGGAGGGAATGGTGGTTCCATAACGCGTTGGGGAAGTGTGACAGGAGGGAAGGGAGGGAGGGGGGAAAAGAGGAGGGAGCGGTGGCTCCAATAACCCTTGGGAGAGGCGGGATCAGAAGGAATCTCTCCCTTGGGAGAAGCAGGATCAGAAGGAATCTCCTCTCCCTGGGGATTAGCGGGGTAAGTTGGAACCTCCCTGCCGCAGGGATCTACACGAGCAACAAGGACCCGATCCCGCTGGGCGCGGCGCTGCGGGCGGTCTGCAGCACGCCGCTGCCCTCGGGGCTGCTCCCGCACCAGGGCGGCGCCGCCCTGCCGCAGCTCAGCCGCTCGCCCTTCGCCAGCTCCATCCCCGCCTCCTCCTCCTCCGCCGGCTCCACCACGCAGGTGAGGCCCGGCACCGACCGGGATTCGGGACGGGGGACACGCGGGAAGGAGGACAGTCGGGAATGGGGACAGTCGGGACTGGGGACAGGCGGGAATGGGAACAGTCGGGAATGGGAACAGGCGGGAATGGGAACAGTCCGGACTGGGGGCAGTCGGGATTGGGGGCAGTTGGGAATGGGGACAGTTGGGAATGGGGACAGTCGGGATTGGGAACAGTTGGGAATGGGAACAGTCGGGACTGGGGACAGGCAGGAATGGGAACAGTTTGGACAGGGAATGATCAGGAATGGGAACAATTGGGACAGGGAACACTTGGGACAGGGAACACTCGGGATTGGAAACAGTCGGGAATGGGAACACTTCCACCGGGAAGAGCGATTGGATCCACACCATTCCCAGGGCTCCCGGCTCCAAGCCAGTGCTGGGAATGTGCCAAGCCTCTCGCCAGACTTCCAGGAGATATTTTTAACACGGGAGCTGGGAAGAGCTGCAGTAACGAGGCTATTTCCCTGTTTCCCGTGCAGGTGTTTTCCCTGGCAGGTTCCACCTTCAGCCTCCCTTCCTCGCACATTTTTGGGAGCCCGCTGACGTCCGGGCTGTCCCTGAACCCCCTCCTGAGCCAGCCGGAGAGCAGCCGGGCAGGTACGTGAGCTCCCAGGTATGTCCGAGTTGGCATTCCCGAGGGCTCTCCCGCCAGGACAGGAGGCCACTGCTGCATTCCCAGCTTTTCCAGCTGCTCTGCCTCGGGGTGACAGCCAGGGCTGCCACAGGGGGACAGGGACAGCGTGTTTGCCAGCAGCACCTCGGGAGTGTCCCTGAAGAATGGGTGGCCCTGGAGAGTTGGGTGTTCCAGGAGAATGAATGTCTCTGGATCATGAGTGTCCCTGGGTGATGATGGCTGGCCCTGGATAATGGGTGCTCCTGCAGAATGGGTGTCCCTGGATAATGGGTGTTCCTGGAGAACGGGGTGTTCCAGGAGAACTGGGTGTTCCTGGGGAATGGGTGTTCCTGGGGAATGGGTGCCCGTGGTTTGGGTTGGGAGGGACCCTGAAGATCATCCATGAGCAGGGACACCTATTATCCCAGGGTGCTCCAAGCTGGCCTTGGACACTTCCAGGGATGGGTCGGCCACAGCTTCTCTGGGAATTCCATCCCAGCCCCTCCCCACCCTCACAGGGAGGAATTCCTTCCCAAAACCCCATCTATCCCTGCCCTATCCCAGTTTAAACTCATTCTCTGTGTCCTGTCCCTCCATCCCTTGTCCCAAGCCCCTCTCCAGCTCTCCTGGAGCCAATTCCAGCACTGGAAGCTGCTCCAGGATCTTGTACTGGGAGATTCTGGCCACATCCAGGAATTATGGATATAACATGGATAACATGGATATAACATGGATATAACAGGATTCCTGCCTGGAAGAGTGTCCCAGTAGGACATTCCTGAGGGGATGAGGGAGCCAGGATCCCCCGGCCCTGTCTGGAGGAGCTGCCGAGCCCCAGCTGGGTTTGCTTGTTCCCAGCAGCAGGAAATCCCCGCTCCAGGCATCCCGCTGGGAATCCTGGCATTCCCTGCAGGAGATTCCCGGGATTCCTGCACGTGGGAATGTGTGGGGAAGGAGAGGAGAGGCAGGGAGGCAGCTGGGGCTGGAGCCACCGCATCTGACAAGGCCCAGGGTGAGGGGAGCGAGCGTTCCAGGGATGGGAAGATAAATGTGGGATTTATCCTGGATTACCCTTGGAATGGCAGATATCCTGCACATGTGCACAGCAGCCCCATCCCAGATTTCCTGGGACACAGGGATGGCTCTGGAGGAAGGTTCTAGATGCCAAAGCTGAGCTGGGCACTGCTGAGGGCACACCTCAGATCCTGGGGGCAGTTTTGGAATCTTCCCAAGAACTACATGGAGGGGCTGGAGCGTGGCCAGGGAAGGGTTTGGAGTGCCAGGAGCGGCTGAGGGAGCTGGGAATGTTTATCCTGGAGAAAAGGGGGATCAGGATCCTTCTGGATCTCCACAAGTCTGTGATAGGAGGGGACAGCCAGGGGTGGTCGGGTTCTGCTCCCAGGGAACAGGGACAGGAGGAGAGGGAACGGCCTCAGGCTGGGCCAGGGGAGGTTTGGGTTGGATATTTGGGGAAATTTCCTCATGGAAAGGGTGGCACTGGAACAAGTCCCCATCCCTGGAAGTGTTCCAAACTGTGTGGATGTGGCACTTGGGGACACGGCTGAGCAGGATCAGGGTTAATGATTGCCCTCCTGACCTTGAGGGGCTTTTCCAACCCGAACCATTCCGTGATTTCCTTGAAGCTCCTTAGGGAGCACCTGGAAATCTCCAGGACCCCGGGGGAAGGGTCCTCAATACCGGCTGACCTTAAAGCTCTGCTCCAGGCTGGTTCTGTCACTACCTGCGCAGTGACAGCCGATCCCCCGGCATTACCGGATCCAGCCGGGGGCAGGGCTGGCACGGGATTTGTCCCTCCCTCCCTGCGGCCCCATCCCCCGGCGGCTCCGGGAAAACCGGCTCCAGGCTTTGCAAAGCTCCGCCTGGCGCGGCGCGGCGGGGGCAGAGCGGGCCGGGGTGACCTTGCCGGGGTGACCGCCCCGACCGTGCCGCGGTGCCAGGCGGTGCCAGCCGCTCCTCCCCGGGGAGGCGCCGCCGGGGCCGCCCTGCGCTGCGCGGGGCCGGCGCTGCTCGGTGCGGTGCTGCCCGGGGCGCTCGGTGCTGCCCGGTCCCGTTCGGTGCTGCTCGGTGAGGCTCGGTACTGGTGCTGCTCGGTGCGGTTCGGTACTTCCCGGTATCGCTCGGTTCTGGTGGCACTCGGAACTACTTGGTGCCCCTCGGTGCTGCCCGGTACCGCTCGGTGCTGGTGCTGCTCGGTACCACCCGGTGCCCCCAGCAGGCACTCAGCGGGCGCTCACCGGGCTCCGGCCGTGCCGGGCGCCCCTGACCCCGGGCACTCTGTCCCTGTCCCCGCGCAGAGCCCGACCTGGAGGATTGCGGCTTCGGCTGCCGAGGGACGTCCCCGCAGGAGAGCCTGTCCTCCATGTGAGTGTCCCTGGGGACAGCGGGGACACCGTGGGGACAGCCTGGGGGGAGACGGAAACAGCTCCTGCCCCGCTCCTTGGGGTGTGGGATGGGATGGGATGGGATGGGATGGGATGGGATGGGATGGGATGGGATGACCCAGGATTGCTTTCCCAGCCCCAGCCAGGACTGAGCTCACCTGGGGCTCACCTGAAGCGCAGCACAGGAGGCTCAGCCTGGGGGGGCTGTGGCCACTCGGGGCCAGGCAGAGGAACAATGGGAGCAGGGAATGGAGCAGGAATGGAGCAGGAATGGAGCGGGGAATGGAGCGGGAATGGAGTGGGAATGGAGCAAGGAATGGAGCAGGAATGGAGCAGGAATGTAACAGGAATGGAGCGGGAATGGAGCAGGGATGGAGCCTCAAGCAGAGCAGGGCCCCCTGACACCCCCGGCCCCCCCAGGTCCCCCATCAGCAGCCTGCCAACCCTCTTCGACCAGACCGTGTCATGCAGCAGCAGCGGGCAGCTGGACAATGTCCCGCAGGCCACCCCCAACATCGAGCAGCTCCTGGAGAAGCAGGGCAACGGCGAGGCCGGGGTGAACAGTGAGTGCGGCCGGGGGGCGGCGTGGCGGCTCCCGGGGCTCTCGGGGTGGGAGCCGCTGGGACTTTGGGATTCTGCCCGCGGGCAGCAGAGCCGGGCGGGGACAAAGCCCCAGTGTGTGCCAGGGGGAGGAGCTGGGGCAGCGCTGTGGGGCCGGTCCGTCCCTCTCTGGGGTTTGATTGTGAATCCTGTGATCCCTTGTGATTTCCTCTTTCCTCCCTTTTCCCCCCCATTTTGTCCCGTCCCCCCTCGGTCCCCCCGCAGTTGTGGAGATGCTGAAGGCGCTGCACTCGCTGCAGAAGGAGAACCAGCGGCTGCAGGAGCAGATCATGACGCTGACGGCCAAGAAGGAGCGGCTGCAGCTGCTCAATGTCCAGCTGTCCGTCCCCTTCCCCGTGGTCACCAGCAGCAACGGCCCGGGCAGCCAGGCCCAGTACATCCTGCCCGCCAACGGTGAGGCACCCGGGCTGAGGGCACCGGGGCTGAGGGCACCCAGGGACGTGTCCCTGTGCCCCAGGGGTGGCCGAGGGGTGACAGCAGGCAGGATCTGTCCCACAGCCACCTCAGGGTCCAGCCCTGACTCTGCTCCCTCGCCCCTCTCCCCTCCCAGTCTGCACCGGTGACTCCCTGAGCATCAGCAAGAGTCCCCCGTGCAAGAACAGCTTCGGCATCGAGAACTCGCTCTCCACATCCTCCGAGGTACAGCGGCCCCTGCGGCCACCAGCGGCCGGGCAGGGCCTCGGGCAGGGGCAGCGCAGCAGCCTCGGGGCTCGGTAGCCAGCTGGTAAAGCCTGCTAGCCCAGGCGCAGAGAACAGGTTCTCCCTGCAGTGCCTGAGGGTTGGGTAGAGTAGCTGAGGGCGCTTCCAGGTGATCCTGGACATCCAGCAGGGCTGGGGTCGAGCTCTGAGACCCCTCTGAGTTCTGGGACCCCTCGAGCCACCCGAGCCCCCTCTTCCCACCCCCAGCTGCCCTGGGCAGCCACCCCAGCCCGATGCTCTGTGTCCGTTTCTCCCCCAGGACCCTCACTCGGGCTGTCCCAGCAGGAGCAGCTCCTCCCTGTCCTTCCACAGCACGCCCCCGCCCCTGCCCATGCTGCAGCCCAGCCCCGCCTCGCTGCCCCTGCCCGGGGCGCAGCAGGTGAACGGCCTGGCCAGGGTGGCAGGCGGGGGGCTGGCCGCAGCCTCGGGGGCCAGCCACGGCCTCTCGGCGGTGCCCATGGTGGACGGCCTGCTGGGCAACCTGGCCGGAGCCCAGCAGATGCCCCTCAACGGGATCCTGGGGAGCCTGAACGGAGCGCAGCCCGCCCAGCCTCCCGGTGCGCCCCCGGCCCTGCAGCTCTCCACCAGCCTGAGCAGGTGAGGATGGGCAGCCCTGCCCTCTCCAGCCCAGCTTAGCTCCGGGGGGAGGGAGGTAGCGGTTCTGGCCATGCTGACCGCTCTGGAGAGCTGTCCCCAAGCGTGGGGGAGCCTGGCTTAGTGCCCGGTGTTCCCAGGTGATGCCAGGCATTGTGTCCACAGGGAGGGGACCAGCAGGAATTTTAGCAGCCGCTAAACTGGACCCCTTGTCCCTCACAAGCTGTGGAATTATCCCTGTGTTCCTGGTGGCTTTACCTGCAGCGTGTTCCCCCAGAGAGCTGGAGAGCTCAGCCAAGGCATTTCCCAGCTCCTGCCAAATGTGCTTCTCACAAATGTGTTCCTCCCTCACTCCTGCACCTGGAATGCTGCTGGGCATGGAGGGAAATCTCTTTAGCTCCCGTGTCTCCCTGTGTTCCCGCAGCCTGAGTCCCCTGACAGAGCAGCAGCGGCACGTCCTGCAGCAGCACGAGCAGCAGCTGCAGCAGCTGCAGCAGCTCCTGACTTCCCAGCCACTTAACCCGGTAAGGGAGGGAGAGGAGAGTGGTGGTGCTGGGAAAAGCTCAGAGCAGAGAGGAAAATCTGAAATTAAAACCTGAGGGTCCCTCCTGTCCCCGAATGCTCCGAGCCTTTTGAGGCTGAACCCACCATGGGCTGGGCGAGGGAATTCAGAGCTGGTTTGGGAATTTGAGATGGGGGAGCATCCCAAATCCCGAGCAGCAAAGCTCCAGGCAGGGGCGTGTGGCACCTCCTGGGGAGGGGAGTTGGGACTTGGGCTCTTTTTGTACCAAAGGAAAGAAGCTTAATCTGAGTTTAATCTGAATTTGCCACATCCTGAGGGGGTGAGAAGGTGGGAGCTCCGGGAAATTGGGAGGGGGAAATCAGGAGAGCCGTGCCCTCCTGGAGTCATCCAGGGATGGAAATCCTGTGGATCCTGGGATGCAAATCCTGCTGGATCCTGGGCTGACCCCGGGCCCAGGGGAGAGGCAGAACGTGCCAAGGATCCTGCTGGGGGTTAGAGAGAAATAAAACCCAAATTGTTTCAATCCCAGCCCGCTCAGCCGTGCCTGGGCACACCCACACGGGGAGCTGGAGGTGCCTGGTGCCACCGAGGGTGGCTCAGGGTTTTGGGGTCACCAAAAGGCCCAGGCGGCTGCTCTGGGGTTCTTGGCTCCCTGCCTGCACCCCCTGTCCTGGGAATGGAGGTAGAGAGGTGGCAAACAGATCCTGAGGTGGCAAACAGATCCTGAGGGAGCAAACAAATCCCTGAGGTGGCAAACATATCCTGAGGTGGCAAACTCCAGCCCCTGGCCTTGCAGAGATCTCGGCGCTCTTCCCACCCTGCCTAGGGTGACACGGGAGTGCCACCAGCGCTGTCCCCAGGGCTGGGCCTTGCCCGTTCCACCCAGGAGCCCAGCCGGCTGCTCTGGATGCATTTCTGGGTCAGGCTATTTTTATATCCTGGGAAAAGCCAATTTCCGAGGGCAGCTGATGCCACCGTGTCACCCGCAGGGACAGGACAATGGCAGCCCCGGCTGCTGCGAGGGTCGATGGTTGCCATAGCGATTCCTGCAGTTTTCCCAGATTTCAGGGAGTTTTTCCCTGATTTCAGGGCGTCCCTCGGGATGCAGGTGAGCCCTGAGCCTGCTCCCCCTGCGTCCCGCTCACCTGGAATTCAGGACGGGATTCAGAGCCAGTTTGGGATTTCGGGATGGTGAATTCCACAGATTTGAAATTGCTGCATTGATGAGTTGGAATTGTGGGGGATTTGTGTCAGAGCTCTGTCCCCATTCTGTTCCTGCTCTGTCCCCACTTGTCCCCTCCTGCTGAGGGCATTGTCCCCGCTCTGTCCCCTCTTTGTCCCCGCTCTGAGCCGTGTCCCGGCCGTTCCCGCAGGAGCAGCAGGCGCTGGTGTTCCAGATGATGCAGCAGATCCAGCAGAAGCGGGAGCTGCAGCGGCTGCAGATGTCGGGCTCGTCCCAGCTGTCCCTGCTGGCCGCCACCTCGGCCCCGCTGCACCCCAGCCCCAGCGCGCTGCTGACCTCGGCCGCGCCCAGCGGGGGCTCCCTGCTGGCCTCGCTGTCCCCGCAGCAGCTGAACCCCGGCGGGGCCCTGCTGGCCCCCCAGGCCACCCCCCCGCTGGGCTCGGGGCCGGCCATGGCCCCCAACCCCTTCCTGAGCCTGCAGCCCGACGGCAGCACCCCAAAGGGAACGGTGGGTACGGGGCTGGCACGGGCCTGGCTGGGGATAGGCTGGGGCAGGCTGGGATGGGATGGGGACAGGGTGGGGACAGCATGGGGATAGTCTGGGGACAGCCTGAGGACAGCTGGGGACAGCTGGGGAGGGACACATTCCTTCCTCCTCCAGTCCTTGTCCCCCAATCCCAGTCCCCCCAATCAATCCCCATCCCCCCAGTCCCTGTTCCCCAATCCCTGTCCCCACAGTCCGTGTCCCCCCTGATCCAGCCATGTCCCCGTTTGTCCCCGCAGCCCCTGGGTGACAAGGGCGCTCCCCTGGCGCAGGACAAGGGCTAGGAGCCCCGCGGCCCTGAGCCCGCAGCCAACCCTCTCCCGGGGACCGCGGCTTCCCCGCGGCACCGGCGGAGCCCGGCGCTCCCAAGGAGCGGCCCAGGAGGAGCCTCGGGAGCCACAGCGGCCGTCACCAAGCCCCGGTGCCACCAGGAGCCAAGGTGGCATCACCTGTCCCCTGCTCCACATGCCAGAGCGAACTCCAGTGGATCCTGCCGGGAGCGTGGGGAGCCGCCGGGGCATCAGAGACCCCCCAGAGCCTTGGGGAAGGACGTGGTGGCACCTGGGCAGTGCCCAAGGGTGTGGCCCTGGATGTGGCACTTGCCAGGGAAGGACGTGGTGGCACTTGGGCAGTGCCCAAGGGTGTGGCACTGCCAGGGGAGGATGTGGTGGCGCTTGGGCACTGCCCAAGGATGTGGCCCTGGATGTAGCACTGCTGGAGAAGGGATATGGTGTCACCTGGAGCTGGCCAAGGTGGTGGCCCTGGATGTGGCACTGCCAGGGGAGGATGTGGTGGCCGTGCCCAGGTGGGGACATCCAGAAGAATTCCCAAGCTGCGGTTTCCCTGCTTTTCCCGCTGGGCTTTGCTCCAGCTGGAGGCCGATCCAGCCTGGAAGGGGAGATGGATGAGGATGGACAGAGGTGGGCAGGAGGTGGCACCACCTGGGAGGACGTTGTCACCTGTGCCAGCTGCCGGAGGGGCGGGGCTGTCCTTCCCTCCCAGAATTCCCAAAGGCCGACGTCTGAGCTGGAAAAGGTGCCACAGCCGGGATTGTCCAACATCAGAAGGAGCTCCTGGACCTGGGAGAGGATTCCTGGACCTGAGTTTGGAGATGAAAATCTTTGTGGGGAGGAGAATCCCAAATGTGGTCCCTGTGTTTTCCCGCCCACCACAGATCATTCCCAAAAAACCACGTTCTTCCACTGGGCCTGGGAAGAGGGATCTCCAAGGAATGGGACAGTGACCACAGTCCTGAGCCTGGCATGGCAGAACTTCCATCGCTTTCCACCTTTTGACCTTGATTCCATCTTCAGCCTGGAATATCCACCAGGAATCGGCTTCCTCTGAGCTGGGATGGATGTAAGGAAGGAAGGAAGGAAGGAAGGAAGGAAGGAAGGAAGGAAGGAAGGAAGGAAGGAAGGAAGGAAGGAAGGAAGGAAGGAAGGAAGGAAGGAAGGAAGGAAGGAAGGAAGGAAGGAAGGAAGGAAGGAAGGAAGGAAGGAAGGAAGGAAGGAAGGAAGGAAGGAAGGAAGGAAGGAAGGAAGGAAGGAAGGAGAGTCAGGGCAGCTCTGGGAAGGGGACCAGCAGCACCAAACGCACCAACGCCCCTCCTTCCCTCATCCCTGGGTACATCCAGAGCTCCTGGGAATGCTCCAGCTGACGGAACCTCCTTTGGGAGAGCCGCAGATCCCGGATTCTGGGACCTTTGAGCCGTGTTCAGCACATCCCCACTGCCCTTCCTGCTTTGCACTATTCCCATTATCAGCAGTGGGGCTGCGCTGATCGTGCTGGCAAAGCTCGGCCCAGGCGAAATCCTCCACTGAATTTCCTTTTTTTAACGTTTATTTTATTTTATTTTATTTGGTTTTTTCCTAAGATTCACACCATGAAGGTTGTCTAAAAAAAACAGAGAAAAAAAATAATACCAAACCCTTTCTGCTCCCAGCTTGGAGCTCTGAACTGGGCAGAGCCGCTGGCTGCTCAGAAATAGAAATATATATTAAATATATAATGGGATTTATCTATCCAGAGGTTATAACGAGCTTAGGAAGCTGTTGGGGAGCCCCATTCTTTGGGATCCCCGTCCCCAAACCCACTCCAGGCACAATTCCCTTCTTGCACTTTGAAATTCCTTTGGATTTTTCTGTTTTTCCCCCCACTCCGAGCTGGGTCTTCCGCCTCCCTTGGCACCCCTGGAGGTGCCACACAAAATCCTCCTGGCACGGGGACACCCCTGGCACGGTGACCCCAGGTCCCCCCCACCTCCCCCCTGAGAAGCCTTGGGCATGGCAGCGATGGTGAAAGCAAATTTAGTCCCAAATTGGGGCTAAAATGCGGAATTTCAGGGCTGTCCCCCGGCCTGTTTTGGTGTGTGGTGGCTGTGCCTGCCATCCTGCAGATCCTTGGGATTTGGGAACAGCCAAAGCCCAGCTTTGGGCCAGAGGGAGGATGGGCAGGGGGCTCTGCCAGGTGGGTGTGGCCAGGAGTTGGGGTTTATTTTATTTTATTTTATTTTATTTTATTTTATTTTATTTTATTTTATTTTATTGTTGGGGTTTATTTTATTTTATTTTATTTTATTTTATTTTATTTTATTTTATTTTATTTTATTTTATTTTATTATTTTATTTTATTTTATGCTTTTTATCACAAATCCCAAATCCCTGCATTGCCCTGGGATTCCAAATCCCTGTGGTGCTGCCCGCAGCCTCCAGCTCCATTTGCAACCCCAAAGACCCCAAAGTTGTGCCCAAATGTCCCAGTTCTTCCAAAATCCAAAATTCCTGGGGATCCGGAAGGTGCAAGGAGCGGGGAGAGGGAGCTGGGAAGGGAATTAATCTCCCAGGAAATCCAAAATCCATGTTGGGATCGCCCCTGATTTGGGGTCGGTGCCCAAATCCCTGGACAAGCCCAGGACAACAAAGGGGTCAGTGAGAGGCACTTAGGGGTGAATCCAGAGGCTGGAAATGCTGGAATTGGCTCCTGCGGGTATGCTGGAGGGCCCAGGCTTTGGAAGAGGAAGGAAATCCAGGAATTTGGGGTTTTTTAGGCAGGATCACAACCAGGGGAGCTGCATCCCTCTGGATCTCTGGGAATTCCGAGAGGTGGATCCAGGAATTCCCAGAGCTGGATCCCTCCAGCTCCCCAGGAATTCCGGGATTTGGGGTCACAGACAGAAAGCACTTACACCTCTCCCTGTGCCCAACCTTCCAAAGGCTCCCAACCCCGGGAATTGTCACCTCCAGCCACCCCAAATGTCCCTTGGGCAGAGTGAGGAGAGGGAGCTGGGAAATTCCAGGTGAATCCCTTTGGAAAAAAAAATAAAAATGGGAGAGCAGGGGGAAGGGCAAGGAGGAAAAGGAAAAGCTAAAGATGATCCGTGTTTCAGTTGCACTGGGGTACGTTTCTTTACCCGTTTTGATGCTCTCATTTAGGATCGTTGCATGTGTCCTTTTGTGGTTTTATCTTTATTTTATTTGGTTTTAGTTTTTTTGGTTTTTTTTTTTTAATATTAAATGAAAGAGAAAAATGTGTATATTTTTGGCAATTTAAGGTAATGTAGCTAAGATATATTTTTTTCACGCTGCTTGACTGGTCTTTATTATAATAAATAATATTAATATTAATTGTGAGGAGGTTTTTAATAAAGATAAGGGGGGCAAATTTAAATGGGAATGGGAATTCCCTGCCTGGTGCTGGAAATGTGTGGAGGAATCCGAAGCCAGGGATGGTCCCAGAATGCAGGAGGTGGGAATGATTGGGAAAAGGAGGGTTTTTCCAAAAAAACCCCAATGATGGCCCCCATTAAATCCCAAATCCTCGTGCTGTGCTGGTGAGCAGCTCCTGAATCCTCCTTTTTCCAAAGGATTTATTCCCTGGAAGCCTCAAATCCACAGGCTCGTGCTGCCCCTGCTTTGGCCCCTTTCCTGCCCAAAATCGGGTTTGGAGACGTGGGAAAAGCCACTCCCAGCCAGGATTCTGAGAATTCCCACTGGAAAATGGGATGGGATGGGACGGGACGGGACGGGAGGGGACGGGACGGGATGGTCACGGTGGCCCCGGGGCAGCATCCGGCCACCCAAACCCCTCCTTGACGCCGTCCCCGTTTGCCGCAGCCCTTCTGTGACGGTGCCCACAAGAAGGAGGCGCCGGGGCTGTCCTCGCTGCGCTTCACCCCGTCCCGAAGCGGCCCCGCGCTGCTCTGCGGCTGCAAACGCACCCAGAGCCCCCCGTACTGCGACGGCTCCCACCGGGGGCACGAGGTGCAGGCGGCGCCGCTGCCCCCCGCGCCTGAGCGGGGCTCGGCAGCACCGGGATGCCCATCCTGACCCCGGCACGGCCGCACGGCGGGAGGACAGGCTCCAAACCCCAATGAAATCCTAATTCCGGAGCGCCGGGAGCCGCCCCCGCTGCAGGGATTCGCCTCCCGACCCCAAATCAGCCTCTGGATAATGGGGTTGGTGGGAGGGACCCCAAATCAGCCTCTGGACAATGGGATTGATGGGAGGGGCTTGGAGGTGTGAGAGCCCTGGGGTGGGGCACCTGTGGGGTTTGGGATGGAGGGGCCTGTGGGAGCTGTGGAGTTTGGCAGGAGGGATCCGTGGGATTTGGGCTCTGTGGGATCTGTGGGATTTGGGATGGAGATACCAATGGGATTTGGCAAGAGGCTCTGTGGCATTCGGGCTCTGTGGGATCTCTCAGGAGACTCTGTGGGATTTGGGCTCTGTGGGATCTCTCAGGAGGCTCTGTGGGATTTGGGCTCTGTGGGATCTCTCAGGAGGCTTTGTGGGATCTCTCAGGAGACTCTGTGGGATTCGGGCTCTGTGGGATCTCTCAGGAGGCTCTGTGGGATCTCTCAGGAGGCTCTGTGGGATTCGGGCTCTGTGGGATCTCTCAGGAGGCTCTGTGGGATTCGGGCTCTGTGGGATCTCTCAGGAGGCTCTGTGGGATCTCTCAGGAGGCTCTGTGGGATCTCTCAGGAGGCTCTGTGGGATTCGGGCTCTGTGGGATCTCTCGGGAGGCTCTGTGGGATTCGGGCTCTGTGGGATCTCTCGGGAGGCTCTGGGCAGCCACCCTTGCGGTGTTTGTTCATTTCCAAAGCTGGACCCGAGGTTTGCAAAGGTTGAACCGAGGACGAGCCCTGGAGATTGAGACTGGGATCATTCCCAGAGGCTGGGATCGTTTCCAGGACAATAAACAGGGTCTGAACACATGGAGCGGTCTGGGATGTACTGAGAGGAAAACCCGACACCAAAACACCCCCGAGCCCAAACCTGAACCCCAACCCAAACCCAAATCACGCCCTGCCCAGCCCAGACAGTGTCCCCAGGCCAGGCAATGGTTGGACGCAGGAATTGCTGAATTCCAAACAGGAATTGTTGAATTCCGTGGAGAAATTTTAATTCCATGCAGGAATTGCTAGATTCCATGCAGGAATTGCTAAATTCCATGCAGGAATCATTTAATTCCCTGCAGGAATTGTTGAATTCCACAGAGGAATTGCTGAATTCCACACAGGAATTTGCTCCCTTCCCACGCTCACCCCTCTCGGGAGCCTCCTGGCCAAAGGCGCCGAAATCTGATTTTTATTTTTATGTTCTTTTATTCCAAACGCACCATGGGGGCAGGAGGAGAGGCTGGGAAGGGCAAGACACCAAAAATAAAAAAATTCGGGATCATGGGAAGCAGGGAGCAGCTCCATCCCAACCTTTGGGTGCCCCCAAACTTCCCTGGAGCCATCAGGACCTCGGGAAGAGAAAATATTTTGGGGGATTTGTGCTGCTACCACCAAGTTGGAGGAAAATACCCCCAAAACCCCCCAAATTTACTGTGCAGAAGGGCAAAGCCCGCAGGGAACACAAATCCCCCAAAAAACACCCAGGATGAGATCCAGGGACAGCTGGAGCTGCTGGAGCCGGCAGCTCCGGGCTGGGGTGTGAATCCCCAGAAAAAAAAAACCCAAAATGGGAAATAAAACCCTAGAGCAGAGCCCAGGGAGGCTGAGGAGGGTTTTTGGGTTTTGGGGGTTTTGGGATTTTTTGGGTTTTGGGGGGTTTTGGGGTTTTGGGTTCTGTGCTTGGCTCTCACCTGTGCAGCCACGGCCCTGGTGGGGAGGGAGGAGGAGGAAGAGGAGGAGGAGAGGGAAAAACCTCTGGGAAAATCAGGAATGTGGGAATGGGGGAATGCAGGAATTTGGGAATTTATGAATTTGGGAATGCAGGAATTTGGGAACATGGGAATGTTGGAATTTGGGGATCTGGCAGCTCCCAGCGCCAGGGGCAGGATGAGGTGTGGGGGGCCTGAAGCTTCCATGAATCAAACCCAGACCTCAACCCCCCCAAAAAAACCCCAAAACCAAACAAAAACCCACCCAAAACCAACCCAAAGCACATTTAAAAATATCCGCCGCCATTTCTGCGTCTTCTCCGTGTTTTTAAATTAGAAAATAATTCCGTAGAACTCTGCTCTGTCCCTATGTACACACCCACATTTATAGAGGTCTGCAAGGGGTTTCAGGAATTCCAGGAGGGCTTTTAGGAATCCCAGGAGGGTTTTGAGCAGTCCCTGGAGGGTCTGCAGGATCCCAAGAGGTTCTGTAGGAATTCCTGAAAGATTTTCACAAATTCCTAAAGAATTTTTAGGAATCCCTGGGGGGTTTTGAGCAGTCCCTGGAGGGTCTGCAGCATTTCCAGGAGGATTTTTAGCAGTTCCAGGAGGACTTTTAGCAGTCCCTGCAGGGTTTTTCGGAGTCCCTGGAGGGGTTGTAGGACTCCCAGGAAGATTTTTGGAGTCCCAGGAGGATTTTCTGAGCCCCAGGATGACTTTTCAGAGCCCCAGGATGACTTTCCAGAGTCCCAGGAAGATTTTTTGGAATCCCGGGAAGATTTTCCGGAGTCCCAGGAGGATTTTTTGGAGTACCAGGAGGATTTCCCGGAGTCCCAGGAGGATTTTTCAGAGTCCCAGGAGGGTTTCCAGCAGCCCCCGGAGGTTTTTAGCTCAGGGCCGAGCCCGTGCTGCCGTTCAGGGCGGTTTTGCGGCCGCGGGCAGGTGGCAGCGGGTGGCAGCCGGGTGGCAGCGGGTGACAGTTCGAGGCCGAGCCGTTGAGGGCGGGCCCGGGGGGGCCGTGGCCGGGGCCGGGCAGGGCGGGGGGCGATGCCAGCCCGGGGCTCTGTGCTTTGTCGCTGCCCGACTCGCACTCGGAGGCGCCGCTGGTGTTGGTGCCCTCGGAGGGCAGCAGCGGGCACAGCTTGAGCCGCTTGCAGGAGGGCTGCACGCGGTACTTGAGGGCCAGGGGACCGGTCTGGGGACACGGGGACACCGGCACTGCCACCACCCATCCCCCGGGGACACCGGCGCTGCCGCCCCCCTCCCACCGGGGAACCCGAAAATCCCACCCGGAGCAAACGCCCCTGTCAGGAAAATCCCCCTGCTCTGGGATTTGTTATGGGAAAAGCTCCCCCAGGACAGATTTTCCCTCTTTTCCCCAAGGACAGATTTTTCCAGGACAGATATTCCCTGTTTTATCCCCCCAAAACCAGATTTTCCCAGTTTCTCCCAGCACAGATATTCCCACTTTCCCCAGGACAAATTTCCCAGTATTCCCAGCCCAGATACACCCAGTTTCTCCCGGGACAGATTTTTCCCACTTTTCCCAGTACAGATATTCCCAGTTTTGTCCCTCAAGGGACAGGCTTTCCCAGTATTCCCAGCACAGCTTTTCCCTGTTTCCCTGTTTCCTCACCCTCCTCCAGGGGTAGATGTAGGCGATGTCCATCAGGGTGTAATATTCCTTCAGGGGCTCGTCCTCATACAGCACCTCCACCTGGAGATGGGAAAGGAGGGATCCAAACCCCGGGAAAGGAGGGATCCAAACCCTGGGAAAGGAGGGATCCAAACCCCGGGAAAGGAGGGATCCAGACCCTGGGAAAGGAGGGATCCAAACCCCGGGAAAGGAGGATCCAGACCCTGGGAAAGGAGGGATCCAGACCCTGGGAAAGGAGGGATCCAAACCCCGGGAAAGGAGGGATCCAGACCCTGGGAAAGGAGGGATCCAGACCCCGGGAAAGGAGGGATCCAAACTCCAGGAAAGGATGGATCCAGACTCAGGAGAAGGATCGATCTGGCCATGGGAAAAGGAAGGCCCCAGCCCCAGGGAAGGGACAGCCCAGCAGGAATATTTGGGACAAGCAAGGATCAGCAGTGGATGCAACACGGGACTGCCAAAACGGCCCCTGTGAGCCAAGCTGAGCACGGCAGAACCTGGGCAGTGCCCCCCGAGCATTCCCAAACATTCTGGAACATTCCCAACCATTCCCAACCAGCCATTCCGGAGCCCTCCCGAGCACTGCTCACCCGGTACTTGCTGGGCACGTCCATCTTGTTGCGCAGGAACTTGGCCAGGTGCAGCACGGTCATGGCCGCGGGGCAGCGCAGGAACCGCAGCCCGGGGCTCGGCGGGCACGGTGGCGCCTGGGGAGGGATGGCTTTGGGGGCACCCGGCTTTGGGGTGTCCCAGCTTTGGGGTGGCCTGGATTTGGGGTGTCCCAGGGACTGGGGAGTCCCAGGTTTGGGGTATCCAGGATTTGGGGTATCCCGGGTTTGGGGAGTCCCAGGTTTAGGGTGTTCCCCTGTGCCACTCAGGACCCCCCCAAGGCAGCTGAGCACTGAGGGCTCTGTGCCACCACAGTGCCACCACAGTGCCACCGCAGTGCCACCCCTTGCTCACCTTGTCCTTGTCCAGGTCCCCATTCTCCACGGCGCCTTTCTGGTCCTCCCTGGGGAGGGACACGGGACAGGGATTGGGGAAAGGAGAGGCAAAAACCCCAGGAGAGGGAAAAACCTGGGTCCCCCTGGATCCCTCTGGATCCCTCTGGAATGCTGCTCCAGGCACCAGGGACATCCCATCCTCGGGCTGTAGCGGAGCCCCGGGCGGTAGCGGAGCCCGCCGTACCTGCAGTCCCGGTGGAACTCGATGGACAGACTGACGATCTCGTCCTCGGGCCCCGTGCCCTGGTCCCGCTCGGCCACCTCGCCACGCTCCTCCTGCGAGCCCAGGGGAACTGCGGGAGAGTGACAGGGCTGGGGAGGGACCAGGCTGGGACACTGGGACACTGGGACATTGACATCGACACTGTGACACTGACACTGTGACACTGACACTGACACTGTGACATTGGCACTGACAGTGTGACATTGACACTGACAGTGTGACATTGACACTGATACTGTGACATTGACACTGACAGTGTGACATTGGCACTGACACTGTGACATTGACACTGACCCTGTGACACTGACACTGTGACACTGACACTGATACTGTGACACTGACACTGACCCTGTGACATTGACACTGACCCTGTGACACTGACACTGACAGTGTGACATTGACACTGACACTGTGACATTGACACTGATACTCTGACACTGACACTGTGACACTGACACCGACCCTGTGACATTGACAGTGTGACACTGACACTGACACTGTGACCCTGTGACATGTGACACTCACCCTCGGCCACCGGGTACGCAGCGTAGAAGTCGCGCCTCCTCTTCATCTCATCTGTGGGGACGGGAACAGGGATGGGGACAGGGACAGGGACATGAGTGGGGACAGCGCCACAGCTGGGGGGTGACAGCAAGAGGGCACAGGGGACACCCCAGAATGCCCAGGGAATTCCCAGCATGAACAATCCCATAAATCCCACAGTGGCACCCAATCCTGAGGGATTTTGGGTCCCCACACCCCAAATCCAGAACTTTTCTCCATTCCTGAGGTGCTTGGAGCAAATCCACAGCTCCTGCTCCAGGATTGTCCCAAAATCTGGGATGGGCGCCGTGTCCGTGTGTCCTGCTGTCCCCGTGGGAATGGGAAATCCCTGGGAAGATCCCGGGAGTTCAGGGGGATGGGAGTGAGTTACAAATTCCCAAATTCCCAAATTCTCCCCATCCTTGGCTGCACCTTTGAAAAGCCCCGGCACCAGCTTGTACACGATGTCCTGGAGAGTTTTGTCTGACCTGGAGTGAGTGAAACAGGAAAAGTGGGAGAAATCAGCGGGATTTGGGAACAGTTTGTGTCCTGCACTTTGGGGCCTCTGCTTTCCCCAGCTCCCCTCTGGAAAATTCCCATCCCAAACCCCAAATTCCTAATTCCCCATCCCAAATCCCCCAAACCCCAAATCCCTAATTCCCCATCCAAAGCCTCAAATCTCCAATCCTCCATCCCAAATCCCCAAAACCCCAGTTACCCATCCCAAATCCACACTTCCTCATCCCAAAGCCTCAAATCTCCAAGTTTTTCCAGGTTTTTCCCAGTTTCCCCAGTTTTTCCCCATGGTTTTCCCAGTTTCTCCCAGTTTTTCCCACATTTTTCCCCACATTGGGACCAAGTGGAGGTGCCACCACCCTGCAGGGCTCGGGGACAGCGGTGGCTCCGTCCCCGCAGGCAGAGCTGGAGATTCCTTAGGAGCCGTGGGAGTGTAAATATTTCATAACGAGCCAGAAAAAATGGGGGGAAAAGGGGGAAAAGGGCAGAAAAATTGTTACTACAGAAAGAGGGAAAAGGTGTAAAAAACCCGGGATGGAAACCCGCCGGGCATGGATCGGAGCCTGGTGTGGTTTCCACGGCAACCGATTCCACAGCTGGGATGGATTTCCCTAGAGCTGGAGTTGTGCGTGGGCACCGTGTCACCTGGCCACCAGGGCCACCCCTGGGGCACAGGATGGATGATGGATGGATGGATGGATGATGGATGGATGGATGATGGATGAGGGATGGATGATGGATGGATGGATGGATGGATGGATGGATGGATGGATGGATGATGGATGGATGATGGATGGATGGATGATGGATGATGGATGGATGGATGATGGATGGATGGATGGATGGATGGATGAGGGATGGATGGATGGATGGATGATGGATGGATGATGGATGGATGACGGATGGATGATGGGTGGATGGATGATGGATGGACGGATGGATCCATAGATGGATGATGGATGGATCCATGGATGATGGATGGATGGGAACACCCCTGGGACCAGGACGGGGCTGCTCCTGGGCTGGCAGCAGAGCCCCAGGGTCTCCCTGCTGCAGGTGCTCAGGGCTGTCCTCTGGAGCAGGGACTGGGCATGAGGGGCCCCCTGAACCCCCTGAGCTTCCCAGTACCCTGAGCTCCCTGAGTCCCCTAAGCCCCCTGAAGCCCCCCAAGCTCCCTGCGCCCCCTGAGACTCCTAAGCCCCAAAAGGCCCCGAACCCCCTGAGTCTCCTGAGCCCCCTGAGCCCCCCGAGCCCCCCAGGGCTCACCGGATGCTGAGCAGGGGCCGGGTTTTGTGCACCTGCACGTCGCACATGGGGCAGTACTTGTTCGTCTCCAGGTAACGAACAATGCAGGTTTTACAGACTGTGGGGATAGAGGGACCCTCTGTGAGCTGGGGGACAAGGAGACAGAGCCCCTGGGACCCCCCACCAGCCTGGGGACATGCTTGGGAACAAAACCCTTGCCCATTGCAGTCCCCGGCAGCTCCACGGGGCAGCACGGCCGGGCACAGGTGGGCACTGTGGGAGGGGTCACTGTGGGGTTTTGGGGCACCCAGGGGATCCTTGGGGACACCGGGACACTCACAGGAGTGCAGGCACTCCACGATGGTGGTGGCGTCGATGAAGTAGCCGCCGCAGAGGGCGCACATCAGGTGTGGGTTCAGCTCCGTGATCTTTATCCGGGTGGTCCTGTGCATCTTGGAGCAGCCCCCGGGCGGATCCTCCCTGCGGGAAACCCCCGCCCTCCCCTTGGATGGGACCCGCAGGGACCGCTGGAGGGGACACGGTGGGGACTGTCACTTGTCACTCCCAGCCTTGCAGCCAGCCCCGGCTCCAGGAGCTGCCCAGCCCCCTCTGCCTCACCCCTGGGTGGCCCTGGGTGTCCCCAGCTAGGTCCCCAACACGCTGGGACACCTCTGAGAAGGGGCAAATCCCACCTGTGGCTGTGCACACACCCCCAAAAAAAAGTGCATTTTGGGTTGGTTCCACGGAAAAGGCATTTCCAGCCAAAATTCTATGGATTTTCCTACAGAAAATCCCCAAGCCCGGTGTCGGGCACCTCCTCCGGGCAGGGACACCCAGCGGGGTCCGGTGGGCACGGCGGGCGCGGGTGGCACCGGGAGCCGCCGCCTCCCGCTCCGGAGCTTCCCCGGTTCCAGCGGGATCGCCGCAGTTTCGTTGTTTCCATGGCAACCCCGACACTTGGAGAGCAGCCGGGATATTGTCGCTGCCACCCGAGGCCAGGCGACAGGCGACGAGGAGCCCCAGGGTGGTGGAGATGAGCAGGACACGGCGGCAGGGCTGGGGTACCGGCGGTGGGGACACGCGTGTGACACACGGGGACACAGAGAGGGACACAGTGACAGACGTATGAAACGCAGGGACACGTGTGACACGCAGGGACACAGGCAGGGACACAGGGACACACGTGTGACATGCAGGCACACGAGGGGACACACGTATTACACGCAGGGACACATTATGGGCTACAGTACACATGCATAGGGACACCCGGGCCAGGGATGGGGACACTGCTGGGATGTTTCAGGGACAGGATGTCATTGAGACTGGGACTGGGGTGCCACAGGGACAGGGACACCATTGGGATGGGGATGGAGGTGCCACAAGGATGGGAACACTGCTGGGACTGGGATGGGAACACTGCTGGGACTGGGATGGGGACACTGCTGGGACTGGGATGGGGACACCACAGGGATGGGGACACTGCTGGGACTGGGATCGGGACACTGCTGTGCTGGAGGGGCAGCAGCCAAGGGGGGCTCAGGAGCCCCAGAATCCCCTCCCAGCCTACCCCCGGCTGCTGCCCCCAGCCCCAGGGGATGGAGGGGGGTCCTGCCAGCCCCTCCCCGTCTCGGGGGTCCCGCGGTGCCCTGTGCCCGTCCTCCCCGCCCGGGACCGGGCAGCCCCGCCGGGCACCGGGGAGCCACGGCTACATTTTGGGGAGGATTTCGCCGCTTTCGGCGCCAATGGCGGCCCCGGGGCTCGGCGGGAGGGGGGAGCCCGAGCCGCCGGCGCGAACCGGTTCTAATAAACCGGGTGATAAGGGCCGCGGCTTCCCTTGCCGGGGACGGGGGGGAACAAAGCCCCGGCGCCCCGGAGCCTCCCGGAACCCCGGCCCCGCCGCAGCCCTCGGGGCCGTCCCGTCCCGCCGGTGGCTCCCGCACTCCCGGCCGCGACTTTCGGGCTCTTTTGTCTCCGTGGGCGGTGTCCCGGCGCAGTGCCCCCCCCTCCGAAACCCCCCGGGCCGGGCACGGGCGGGGAAGGGCGTTTCAAAGTCACCGCCAACTCGGGCCCCCGCCCGCGGGATCCCCGGCGGCGGCGGGCGCGGGGCTCGGGAAATGACCCGGGACGGCTCTCCCGGCACGGCCCGGGCCTCGCACGGCGCCCACGGGGCCCGGAGCGCCGGGAACGCGAGGGGACAGCCCCGGAGCGCGGCCCCGCCACCCCCGGCAGCGCCCGCCGGGACCCCCCCCCGCCGCTCCCGGGGTGCGGGACGCGGCACCGGAGCTGCGGGCATGGGGGAGGGAGCCCCGCAGGACACGAGGGACCACAAAGCGTGTGGGGACAAGGACACGCTCACACGGCACCGGGAGCGGCGGCGGGACGGGACCGCGGGGCGTGACACCCAGGGGACACGGACACCGGGGGGTACACGGCGGGGATCAGACACGGGGGGACAAGGATACCGGGGGGGACAGGGACAGCGGGGGTACCGGGCACGGGATGGCCACTGACACCCGGGGGACACGGACACCTGAGGGGACGCGGACACCGGGGGGGACACGGACACACGGGGGGACACGGACACACGGGGGACACGGCCGCGGGGTGGCCTCGGCCCCGCGCGGTGCCCGGGGCTGCCTCGTTTCTCCCCCGGCAGCTCCCGCCGCCTCCGGCGATGGGGCCGGGGGTGGGGCGGCCCCGGTGGCCCCGGGGCGTCCCCTTTGTACTCGGGGCTCGGCTCGGCTCGGCTCGACTCGGGCTGCGCTGCGGCCGCGGCCCTTTTTTATTTTTTTTTTTTTCCCTCCACTCTCTCTCTCTCTTTTTTTTTTTCTCCCTCTTTTTTTTTCCCCTCCTTCCTCCTCCTTTTTGTTTTTTGTTGTTTTTTTTTTTTTTTATTATTATTTTTGCCTCATTTTTAATTTTTTTTTCCCACCTCCAGACGCCGCCAGGCCCCGCCCGCCTCACGTGACCTCATTCCTTTGGGGGGCTGCGGAGGAGGGGAGCGAGGGGCCGAGATTGGGGGGACCCCCCCGGAACCCCCCAGCCCCGGTGATCACGGAGACCCCCGGGGGGGAAACGAGAACTCCCCCAAAACCGCCGGAATGGCCCCAAAATGCGGTCCCCGGTGGAAGCTCCGGGCGCGGTGTTCCCCCCATCGGGGACCCCATTTTGGCCCCAGATTGTGACCCGGGACGAGCGGGACCCTCTGCGGGACCCTCTGGGGAAGGAAAGGGAAGAGGGGGGGAAAGAAAAAAAAAAAAAAAAAAGAAATGGAGGGAATTTCAAGAGGGAAAATGATGGAAAATTGGAGGGCGGGGAAGGAAAAAAAAGGGGGAAAATAGGAAAAAAATAGGGGGAAATGCAAGAAAGAAAAGGAAAGGCGAAAATGAGAGGGGGGAAAAGGGAAGGAAAAAAAAAAGAACGGGAAGAAAAATAGAGGGTAATTGAGAAAAGGAAAAAATGGAAAAGAAGGAGGGAAAAAGAAGGAAAACGGGAAAATTAGAAAAACGGGGGAAATGAACAAGAAGGGGGGGGGGAAAGGAAGGTGAAAAAAACAAGGAAAACAAAAATTAGGGGAAAAAAAGGGAGAACGGGAAAATCGAGGGGAAAGGAATGAAAAAAGGAAGGTAAGAAAAAATGGAGGGAAATTAGAGAAAGATGGAAAACAACGGGGAGAAGGAAGGGAAGAAAACTGATGGGAAATGAGAGAAAAAAAAACGAAAAGGAAGAAAAAAGAACAGGAGAAAAGGAAAGGAAAAAAGAAGGAAGAACAGAAAGGAGGAAGAGAAAAAAAGCAGGAAAAAAGAAGATTGGAGAAAAAAAAGAAAAAAAAGGAAAAGTCGGGAAGGAAATAAAGGAGGGGGAAAGGGGCAGGAGGAGGAGTGGGAGGCGCTGAGGGAGCGCGGCCCCCGCACGCCCGGGATTACCGGCGGTCCCCGCACGCCCGGGATTACCGGCGGCTCCCGCACCCGCGGGGTTACCGGCGGTCCCCGCCCCGCCCGCTGCCGGCGCTCGCAGCCCGGTCCCGTCCCGCTGTCCGTGCCCGGGCGTTCCCGGTGAGCCGCTGTCCGTGCCGCTGTCTCGGTTCCCGGGATCGCGGGGTCGGTGCCTGCTGGAGCCGTTGCCGGTGCCGGTGTCCGGTTGCCCCGGTTCCGGTGTCACGTTTCCCTGTGCTTGTGGCCCGTGTCCGGTGTCCCGTTCCCGGTGTCCGTTGCCGGTGCCTGTCCCCGTTCCCCGTTCCCGCTGTCCTGTTCCCGGTATCCTGTCCCCGTATCCCTTTCCCGGTGTCCCGTTCCCGGTATTCCCGGCATTCCCGGTATTCCCGGTGTCCCGTTCCTGGTGTCCCATTCCCTTTCCCGGTATTCTCTCTGTCCCCTTCCCAGTATTCCCGGTATTCTCTCTGTCCCATTCCCAGTATTCCCGGTATTCCCGGCATTCCCGGCATTCCCGGCATTCCCGGTGTCCCATTCTCGGTATTCCCGTTATTCTCGGTATCCCATTCCCGGTATTCCCGGTATTCCTCTCCCGCTCCTGTTCCCGCGCCGAGTGCCGCGCGTGCGGAGCGCTCCCAGCGCAGTCTCTGTGGCGCAATCGGTTAGCGCGTTCGGCTGTTAACCGAAAGGTTGGTGGTTCGAGCCCACCCAGGGACGGAGCCGCTTCTTTTGCCGCCGCCGCTTCTGTTCCCTCTTTTCCCGGTGCCAGCCCCGGGGAGCGGCCCGGGGTGGACGGAACCGGACACGGAGAACGTGCCGGGGGCAGGGATCCACTCCCGGTGCTGCCTCCAAGGCGGAGAAGCAGCTCCACCTGTGCTCCCACGAGGAGGTTTTGGGACATTAAAATCGCAGCTGAAACCGTGTTTCCATCCAAATCCTGAATTTTGCCTCAAAATTAAGCTGAGGGGGCTCCCAAGGCTGCCAGACCGAGATTCCCCTCTCTGAAAACTCCTGTAAATTCCATTTCTGCGCCCTGAGATGATGTAATTCCCAAAACTCCGGAATTCCCAGAACTCCGGAATTCCTGTTTCACCCCGGCACGAGGCCACGCTGGGATCGATCCCCGGGATACCCCCGGCTCTGCCGGGACTGTTCCCACCGGACTTCGGCTCCTGCCAGGAAACTTTTGTGCCAGAAAACCCCTTAGAAATGCACTTCAAAAATAGGATTTAAAAATGGGATTTAAAAAGAGGATTTGACACCAGCGTGAGCCCGGCCCGGCTCTGCCTGCGCATCGGGACGTGCCGTGACCCCGGAGGGACCTCGCAGAGTGACCCCAACCCCCCGTGCTTCCCGAGGAGATTTTTGGGAGAATTCCCTTTGGATGGGCGAGCTCGGGGCCGTGTCCGCGCCCCCGGAGATGCGGCTGTTCTCCCGACGGATCCAGCTGTGCCCCCATTCATCCAGCCCTGCCCTGATCCAGCTGTTCCCCATTTCTCCAGCTGTGCCCCCCCCAGATCCAGCTGTGCACCGCTGATCCAGCCGGGTCCCACCCGGACGTTCCCCCACTGAGCCAGCTGTTCCCTTGGTGCTCCAGCTGTTCCCCATTTATCCAGCTGTGCACCCATTGATCCATTTGCTCCCCATTGCTCCAGCTGTTCCCTCACTGATCCAGCTGTGCCCCCATTTACTCAGCTCTGCCCCGATCCAGCTGTTTCCCATTTTCCCAGCTGTTCCCCCATTTTTCCAGCCGTTTCCCCATTTTCCAGCCATTCCCATTTTCCAGCCATTCCCATTTTCCAGCTGTTTCCGGACTCTTCCCTTTCCCGCCCCGCCCACCCTCCCCTGCCTCAGCCAATCACCTGCGCGCGCCCCAGCGTCTCCCGCCAATCCCCAGCAGCGCTCGGGCTCCAGGCCGCGGCGGCGACCAATGGCGCGCGCGGAAGGCGAAACCACCGGCGGCGGCCACCAATGGGAAGCGTTGGGGTGAGAGCGGCGGTGGCAGTGACCAATGGGAAGAGGTGAGGGCGGGACCAGCGGTGGCAGCAGCCAATGGGAAGCGTTGGGGGCGGGAGCGGCGGCGGCGCGGCGGGGCCGGAGTGGGGCCTGAGCAGAGACCGGGCCGGGAGCGAGCGGGGCCGGAGCGGTGACACAGCGGGGACAGGACGGTGACACAGCGGGGACAGAGCGGTGACCGAGCAGCCGCAGCCATGGTGAGACCCGGGACGGCCCCTCCGGGGCCCGGCACAGCGCGGGGGAGGCGCGGGGCGAGGCCGCTCCGCGAGGGAGGCCCGCGGGGAGCGGCGGGGCTGAACCGCGGCTCGGTGTGGCGGTGCCGGGGCGCCCCGCGGGTCTCTGCGGTGTCCCTGAGCCGCCGCTCCGCGCAGTCGATCATGTCCTACAACGGCGGGGCCGTCATGGCCATGAGGGGCCGGGGCTGCGTGGCCATCGCCGCGGACCGGCGCTTCGGCGTGCAGGCGCAGACCGTGACCACCGACTTCCAGAAGATCTTCCCCATGGGCCAGAGGCTCTACATCGGCCTGGCCGGGCTGGCCACGGACGTGCAGACCGTGTAAGTGAGGGCCGGGGTTGCTCTTGGGATCAATGGGAAGTAACGGTGCTGGTGCTGCTGGTGGGAGAGGGTTGGAAATGGAGCGGCCTGGTGGGATTTGGGATCACGTCACACATCACACTGCTGGGCTGGGGATTTCACTGCTGGGCTGGGGATTTCACTGCCAGAGTTGAGATTTCACTGCTAAAATTCCACTTGCACTGCTGAAATTCAACTTTTACTGCTAAAATTCAACTTTTACTGCTAAAATTCAACTTTCACCCCTGAAACTCAACTTTTCCTCCTACCATTTTGCCTCAGCTGCAGCAGCAGCTGCGTGTGCAGCCCTCAGTGCTGGTGCCTGTCAGCAGCAGCAGCAGCCAGGCCTGGCTGAGGGGAAGGAGCAGGACCGTGCTGAGCTTTAAGCCCAGCTCTGATCTCTTGCAGGGCCCAGAGGCTGAAGTTTAGGCTGAACCTCTACGAGCTGAAGGAAGGGAGGCAGATCAAGCCCCAGACCTTCATGAGCATGGTGTCCAACCTGCTCTACGAGAGGAGGTAAAACAAACTGCAATTTCTGTGTGTGCCAGGGAGGGCTGAGGGTGCTGGAGTGGCCAGAGGAGCCTGGATCATTTCCTGTTGTCACCATCCCCTCCCTGAGCGGATTTTTGTTCTCTTGGGGTGACATTTCCTCCCCAAATTGTCTCAAACAGAATCAGTTGTCAAACCAGAACAAACTCCTGCTGCTTCAGGGTGGTCTGCTGTGCCAAAACCATTGCAGGGCTCTCCCTGAAAGGACTGTGGGATGGCTTCTGTGCCTGGAAAACATTTCTGAAGGATGTGGGACTGCACTGGGGGTTGGAATGGGACAGCTGTGGGGACAGCTCCAGTCTGTGCTCTGGGGACTGGGACAGGAGCCAGGGAATGGCTGGGTTGGAAATTCAGGGAAGGGAGGGTGAGCTCTGGGAATGGTGATCCCAAAGCTGCCAGAGCTGCAGGAGCGTTCAGACACTGCTGCCAGGCACAGGCTGGCATTTTGGGGATTGTCCTTTTGCCAGGGTGATCCCTGTGGCCCCTCCGGGGCTGTCCCTGTCCCCAGGGCTGCCCTGAGCCCAGCTGTGTCCCCAGGTTTGGTCCCTACTACACGGAGCCGGTGATCGCGGGGCTGGACCCGCTCAGCCATGAGCCCTTCATCTGCTCCCTGGACCTCATCGGCTGCCCCATGGTCACCGACGACTTCGTGGTCAGTGGCACCTGCTCCGAGCAGATGTACGGGATGTGCGAGTCCCTCTGGGAGCCCGACATGGTCAGTGGGGCTGGGGTCACCTGGGATCTCCTGGGATAGCCTGGGGACATGTGGGGTGTCCTGGGATTGCCTGGGATCTCCTGGGATGTGTGGATTCAGGAGTTCTCCTTCCCATGCTTGCCGGAGACGCTGAGCTGGGGAGAGGCTTCATTCCAGCTGTGCCTTCCGCAGCCTGAGAGGGGAAGCTTGCAGGGTTTTGGGGGTTGGGATGAAATTTCTGGGGGGATCTGCAGCCCAGGTGAAGCCCTGTGCTCCCTCTGTGCTCCAGGAACCTGAGCACCTCTTCGAGACCATCTCGCAGGCCATGCTCAATGCCGTGGACAGAGACGCCATCTCTGGGATGGGCGTGGTGGTACACGTCATGTGAGTGCTGGGGATCCTGGGGAGCCCAGGGGCTGCACTGCCTTCCCTTCCAGGGATCCCCACATCCAGGGCCTGGCACTGCCTTCCCTTCCCTCAGGGATCCCCAAATCCAGGGGCTGCACTGCCTTCCCTTCCCTCAGGGATCCCCAAATCCAGGGGCTGGGCACTGCTGGAACCAAGAAATAACTCCTGGAGTTTGAGTCCCTCTGCTCAGGGATTCCCTGGCTGCATTCCTGTGGGATTGAGAAGCTCTGCCCCTCATGGATGCAGCATTAACTCCCATCTCTGTCACCAGCTGCCTTTTGATAAACCCCATTTTGCTCCTGCAGCACCCCAAACCTGGCAGCTCCCCACAATGAAGGGTTTATTTATTGTCACAACCACCCGAGCTCCTGCCCATGGACCTGGGACTTCCCAAGGCAGGACAGGCTCTAGGAAGGGTTTAAACCTGGCTTTAGCAGTAAATAATCTCTCCTTTTTCCCCCCCAGAGAGAAAGACAAGATCACCACCAGGACCCTGAAGGCTCGGATGGATTAGCCCAGCCCAGCTGCTCTGTGCCCCTCGGGACTTTTTAAAATAAAACTGCCCTGAACTTCCCTTTTGGTGCCTCTGAGCAGGGTGAGGGTGTCACCCTGGCTGCCAGGACACAGGGGTGACCCCAGGGGTGTCACCTTTCATCCAGTCCATCCCTCCAGCACCTCCCAAATTGGGACGGAAATACAAATTATCCCAACCAACCACAGGGAAAACCTAACCCTGAGGAGACATGGAGGGAAGTGCTGAGCACGGGGGCTGGAGAATTCCCACCCTGAGGGCTGAGTTCCACCCCTAAAGCTTCAGGAGGAGGTTTGAGGTGGCAGTAGCTGAGCTACTTTTCCTGCCAGGTCTGGTTGTTCTGGCAGCCAGCACTGGGTAAAGTTGGTAAAATCTCATTTAAAGAGGCTTATGCTGGTGTGGTTTGTGGAACCATGGAATGGTTTGGGTGGGAAGGGACCTGAAAGCCCATCCAGTGACAGGGACACCTTGACTGTCCCAGGGTGCTCCAGCGTGACCTGGGGCATTTCCAGGGATGGATCAGCCACAGCTGCTCTAGGAATTCCATCCCAGCCCCTCCCAGGGGGCATTCCTTCCCAAAATCCTATTTAAACCCTGCCCCTTTCCCAGTTTTCCCCCATCCTGTCCCTGCCAGGACTCCCCATGCTGGAGGAGCAGCTGAGGGTGACCCCTCAAGGAGCACAGCCGGGAGGACCCAGATGTACACAAAGTTTTAATTTTATTTCTTTTTTTTCTTTTTTTTTTTTTTTCTCTGGTTGGAGACTCATCTTGTAACATGCATGCATTTCAAAACAGTAACAGTGTCTCAAACTGCTCCTAGCAAACAGACAAGCACAGAGGACTTCAAATTCCTATTTAAAAAACAGCAGTGAAAAAACCTAAAATGTTCCTTTTTTTTAATTTTTAAATTTTTTTTAAAGTTTTTTAGGTTTTTTTTTTGTGTTTAGTTTTTAGTTTAAACTTAATTTATTCACATTTTTTTCTTTTCAATTCAGTTGCACTGATTAGCCCTGCCCACCCTTGTGACCTGTGTGTGGAATCTGCTCCCTCCACTCCCATCCAGCTGCTTGGGCAGCCCCAGAGCAGCAGAAATTTTGAGTTGTTTCCACTAAAAACGATGTGTCCAGAGCTCTGCCGTCCCAGTTTTCCATGGGATCCATCCCACAGAGCCAGGACAACAGGCAGGGGCTGAGGGGGACACTGGGAGTGGCTCTGCAGGAAGGGGACATTTGGGAATTTGGGGCTGTGGCCACGCTGGGGATACCCCCCTGCTTTTGGGGAAAATTCTTCAGCTGGGGGTGAAATTCCAGGTGCAGCTGGAAGGGGGGCCTGGGAAAGGACTGCATAGTAGTCATGGATTGGGAATACCCACCACCACAACCTCCTCACCACCCCGAGCCTGCCTGGGCTGGGAAAGCAGGGATTTCCTCCCAAAAAACCACAACAACAACAAAAACAACTAAAAAAAAAAAAAAAAAGGAAATAAGACTCAAAATGGTTCAGATTTCCTTGCTGATTGTGCTGATCCAGATTCCAAGCTGGGATTGTGGGAGTGTGGCCTCCCCCTGCTGCCCCATGGGGTGAATTCCATCACCAGTGGGGTCAATCTTATCCCCACAGGATGAATTCTGTCCCCAGGGGGTGAATTCCAGCCCACAGAAGGAACTCCACCCCCATAGCGTACATTTTATCCCCATGGGGTGAATTCTGTCCCCAATGGGGTGAATTCCATCCCCAGTGGGTGAATTCCCAATGAATTCCATGATTGTGGCTCAGGATGGAGCCCAGGCCAGGCAGGGGTGAGGAGGGACCCCAAATCCCAGCCCTGGGGAGCCCCTGGACGCCCCAGCTCCCCCCAGCAGCTCTGCAGTGCATTTACTGCACTCCTGCAGCAGAGCTGGCTCTGCCTCCCCTCTCCCACTCTCATTTCGGGGCTGTCTCAGCAGGGAAGGTGGGAATTCCCAGCTCAGAGCAGATCTTGGGGTTTTTAAATCCCTCAGGAACTTGGATGCTGCAGCTCCTCCTGCCTCAGGCACTGCAGAGGGGAGATGCTGCTCACTGATTTTTTGGAGCTCCACTGGGACCAAATTTTGCCTTTTTTTGGTCAAAAGAAAATTCTGAATTCTGCTGCAAATCCTGGCAGTTCAATGTGTTCTGCAAGGTTCATGCTAAGGACAGGAGTATCTACATTCAGCAAAAACTAGAACTAAATCCACACCAGAAACAGACAACAAACTAGCACAAGCAGTTGTAAAACCAGAATTGAAAGGGCTGGGTTTTCCTTTTTTTTTTTTTTTTTAAAAAGTGACCTAAACCAAGATTTGAAAGAAAAAAAAAACACCAAAAAAAACAAAAACCAAACCAACAAAACAAAGCAAAACAAAAAGAAAAGAAAACAAACATAAAGAAAAAGTCCCTTTTAAAACAAATCAAAATATTTGCAGCTTCACTTCTTGTTCTGGTAATAAAAAATACTGTCTAGAAACAAAAATTAGCATTTTTAAGGTAATGCTACTTCTCCAAATGTAAACAATATACAAAAATGCTTCTGTTAAACAAAGTTACATACCTGGGTAATACATCATTAGGTGAGAAAATTGCATTTAATCACTTTTATACACAATATGGCAACTGGACAGAACGGACCCCCAGATCACCTGGAACAGCCAAATTTAATCCCAGCAGGAGTTTGTAATAAGAAAATATTCCCTGCTCTCGATTTTTGTCAGAACTCTGTAAGGATTTCTGCAGGAATTCCCTGGGTTTTGACTGGATTCCTTACTCATTATTCTGGAATTCAATAAAGATTTTTTTTCTGCCATCTTCACTCCCCTTTCTCTGGGTTTGCTCTGTGGTGTTCATCCACCTCCTGCTCTCTTCCTCCCCCCTTTTTCTCCTTTTTATTTATTTTTTTTTTTTAAATAGATGATTTCAAGATAAAACAACTTCCAAGCTACTTTCCCCAAAAGGAGAAGGGCAAACTTACCAGGTCAAAGTTGCAGATTCAATGCAGATTTTTTTTTTAACTGTCAGGAATAAAAAGTGATTGGTGTTTAATTCCTAATTAGCAGTGAACTTAAGTGCTTATTAACAGAGAAGCAACCAATATAATGCCCACAAAATTAAGCTGATGATGCCCTCTAAGTCCTCCCTTTTTTTTCTTTTTTAAAGTATTTTTTAGCTGCATTTGGGTCGTGGCTTTTCCAGCTCCACACCTTAAAATCCCTCCAGCCTCCCACGCCAAAGGGGCAGCAGAAATTCGTGCCACGCCAAAGGGAAGGACCAAAAATCTTCAAATCCCGTCAGGACCCCTAATTTTTCATTTCTCCAAAATTCTATTTACAGTGCACCCTCATGGGCTTCAGTGTCAGCCCCTGCCAAGGTGAGACCTGTGGGGGGATTCACATCAGGAAGGGGAAAATGGGGAGGGGGTGAAGAGGAAATGAAACCAAAAAAAACCCAAACCCCACATTCAGAATCCAGCCCAGAGGCAGGGTTAATTCAGGGGAATTACCAGGGTGTGATGAGCACCAGTTATGTCTCAAAAAGGACCAAAATTCCACACAGCAAGAACTGTTACAGCACAGGACAGACATTCCCAACAGCTTATTCCCCAAACAAAGGCATGTGTGAAAAACAGTTCCAAGGCAGATTAAGCAACATGTTTGAACTGCAAAGAGGTTTGTTCAAAACTCTAAATCCTGCTTAAAAAGAGAAAGGAAATTAAAATTAAAAAAAACAAGTAACAAATCCCAAAATAAAGAACCAAAAGTTCTGTTGTGCAGCAGAGCTAACGAAACCCACAGCGAGGCTGCCGAGCTTGGCTGTGAAAGGGTTAAAGGAGACAAAACAGGACTATTTCAGTCACTCCAATCAGTCCCAAAATCCTTCAGGGGGGGCTGGAAAAGAAATCTGGTGTGAGAGTTCAACCATTTCCACTCCTGGAGGGTCGCTCAGGGGGTTTGGAGCAGGATGAGCCCAGCTCCCAGCACTCACCCCTGGTAGCCAGGCCAATTCCTTCTGTGCAAGTCACATTTTTAAAAAATAAAACACAAAAAATCCAACCCAGCAACCTCTGTCAGGACACAGATTCAAGTACCTGTTGCAGGTGGGGTGGGGAAGGAAGACTGAATAATTAATTAGCTAATTAACACTGGCAGGATTGTGATGGTGATCTCAGAGCCATTCCTGGCTGAGGAAGTGGCCCAAAATTTTAGCTTGGATCTACAGGCACAAAAATGCCTTTTTTTAAATGTCTTTTTTTTCTCTTCTTTAAGAAAATTTTCAGAGCTGGCCAATTAAAATCACCCCAGGTCCGAGCACATAATGAGCTGAGGTTGGTTAATGCCTCTCTCAGTTCTTTGCTTGTTTTTAGCTTTTAGGAGTTACACCTTTTTATTTTTTCAGACATCATCTTTGGTAGATGTTAATTTCCCTCATCTTTCTTGTAAATCAAGTGCAGTTACAAAAAAGTGGTTTGTTTTTTTTTTTTTTCCTTTTTTCTTCATTACTTAAATTAACCAAAAAAATATAAAGTGTCCCAGTCTGAATTTACCTAAAGTTCAGCGACTCCTCCTTTTTATCAGAGTTATATTTTCCATCCTTGAAATGGTGAACTATTTTCCTTCCAATTCCTACCGAGAGGGAAATAAAAGGGTTTTTTTTTTTTCTTTTTCTGGCAAAGCCAGTCCAATAAAACAACAACAACAACAACACAAAAAACAAGGAGTGGTTTGCAAGTCAGGCACTGCTGAACGTGACCCTTTGGGGACAGTGCCACACGTGTCCCAGCCCCTCAGCAGAGAGGAGAAAACGTCACTGGGCAGAAAGAGCAGTGCTGGAACAATGCACTTGGCTTGTTTGGAAAAGCCCTCAAATCTGAGATCTGGGCACTTCTGAAACACCAAACCCAGAGGTGCAGCGGGCGCAGCGAGAATGAGGATGGGTTTTGTCACACGGTGCCACACGTGCCACAGGTGTGCCCCGGTGCTGCTGCAGTGTCTGTGCTGTCCCAGGCTGCAGGAGCCCCCCGGCTGCAGGA